AGAACACACATCTGATACCTGTGAAAACTCTCCTCACTGTGCGAACTGTAATGGGGAGCATGCCGCATACTCACGGTCATGCTCATGCTGGAAAAAAGAAAAGGAAATTGTCACAATTAAAGTAAAACAAAACATTTCATTCAGGGAGGCACGAAGGCAGGTGTCCTACCTACCAGAAACCAGCTTTGCCGAAGTGGCGCGTCAGGGGTCACCGCCATGACGGCCCCCGGCGCCTGTCTGGCACACGCGTAGTGAACCAGTGGTGACGCCATCCGCCCCCTCGGCGGTTGCAGCAAGTGCTGCTCCACCATCTAAGAAAGACCCACCAACCTCCGGGCTGGGGGCCGCAAAGGTCTCGTCTTTTGAGGCGAGGCCCTCAAAACAAATGCAGCGCTTGCAAGAGCGCGTGTCCAGCGCCTCGCAAGAGGCAATGGACACAACACCGAGCGTGAGGACGCAGCCAGCGCCTAAGGATCGGCGCGACTCTGTCGACCGATCCAAAAAAGAAAAATCTCGCGTCACGGCTCCTGAAAAGGGTCCGTGAGCTTACTTGCCATCCTTGAGCACACAACACAAAACACATCTAAAATGGACACACAAATACTACAGTGGAATGCCAGAGGCCTACTTAATAACCTAGATGATATCAAAGACTTGCTTGATGACTATCAGCCAAAAGTGTACTGTGTTCATGAAACTCATTTAAAGTCGACTCATGTGAATTTCTTAAATCAATATGTGGTTTTTCGTAAAGATCGAAATGGTGGAAATTTCTCTTCTGGAGGTGTGGCCATCATTGCACAAAGAAGCGTAGCATGCCAGCACATTGTGCTACAAAGCTGTCTTGAGGTTGTGGCTATTCGCACTATTCTATTCAACCGTCTTATATCTATCTGCTTCTACATAGCCTCCGACGAACCATTAAAAAAAAAACAGAGATCGAATAGCTTATTGATCAGCTTCCAGAACCATATGTGTTAATTGGAGATTTTAATGCTCACAGTTTGCTAAGGGGTGATACCAAATGTGATGCGAGAGGTTGTGCAAGAGAAAACTTTCTTGTCGCATCTGGAGCCTGTCTGCTCAATAAGGCAGAGCCAACATAGTTCAGTACCACACACAATACATATTCATGCATGGATTTAGCCATTGGGTCATTGTCACTTCTACCTTACTTAGATTGGAAAGGTATTATTAATCCATGTGGAAGTGACCATTTTTCAACTCCTTTAGTAACAAAACAACGGGATGACCGGCCGTCTTATCCTAAAAAGTGGAACTTTCATGTTGCAAACTGGATGAAATTCAGAGAGCTATGTACACTACACCTCGAAGAGGTGGATCATTTGGAAGTAGAAGAGATGGCCAACTATATTTCTGAATATGTTCTTACTTGTGCAAAAAAGTGCATACCGAAGTCCAGGAATGATAAGGTTAACACAAAGCCATGGTGGAATCGGGAGTGTGAAAGTGCTAAAAAACGACAGAACAAAGCATGGAGGACTTTTTCTCGCTACCCAACAGCAGAAAACTTGATAACCTTTAAAAGTTGCAAAGCGAATGGCAGGCGTGTTCGCCGTATAGCCAAACGGGAAAGCTGGACACGCTATATATCCTCAATAAACTCCTACACAGACGTCAGCAAGGTTTATAATAGGGTGCATAAACTTAAAGGACAAGGCCCAAATTCCTTCCCTTAGGTGAATGACTGCGGTGATACAATAGAAGAACAGGCAAACGCTCTTGGCGAACACTTCGAGAAAATGTCAAGCTCAGAAAACTATACCACTAAGTTCTTATGCCACAAAAGCATAGCTGAAAGTGTACCTCTGTGCCGGAACAAGCCTGTATCAGACGGATACAATAAACCACTAACACTATATGAACTGAAGCTTGCCCTTGGTTCCTGTGAAAGTTCTGCTCCTGGTTCTGATACAATTACCTATGAAATGATCAGAAATCTCCCTTATGAAACCCTGAACTGCCTTTAGCCTGAAACCCTGAACTGCACTTTACAACAGATTTTCAATACCGGCAAAATACCATCTGCTTGGAAAGAGGCAATAATACTACCAATCATTACACAGGGCAAAGATCCCTATTCGGTAAATAGTTACAGGCCTATCGCCCTCACAAGCTGGCTACTCAAAGTGTTTGAAAAAATGATTAACTGCCGCTTGGTCTATTACTTGGAATACAACGGCATATTGGACCCGTGCCAGTCTGGTCTCCGTACAGCTAGATCCACAACCGACAATCTTGTCCTCCTCGAGTCGTATATACGTGACGCGTTTGTACACAATCAATACTGTCTGTCTGTTTTTTTTATCTTAAGAAGGCATATGATACTGCCTGGCGATACGGAATCCTGCCAGATTACTGTCTTTAGGAATATGTGGCACGTTGATTACCATCTTAAAAGATTACCTGTCTGAAAGGAAGTTCCGTGTAAGAATAGGTACTGTGTTATCGCGCACATTTCTTCAAGAAAATGGAGTGCTGCAGGGAGGAGTATTAAACTGCACACTATTTATAGTTAAAATGAACTCTCTTCGCTCTGTTATTCCACCTGCGATATCGTACTCTGTACACGTGGACGACATTCAAATTAGTTTCAAATCGTGTAACTTGACTGCATTCGAATGCCAGATACAGTTAGGTGTTAACCGACTTGCAAAATGGGCTGACGAGAATGGTTTTAAGTTTAACACTGACAAGACTACCAGTGTGCTTTTCTCGAGACGACAAGGTGTGCATCCTGACCCCTGCATACTAATGAATGGACAAAACATAGTCATCACGAAAGAACAAAAATTCCTCGGTGTATTTTTGATTCCAAACTCACCTTCATTTAGCTCATAAAACAGCTGAAGTTAAAATGTCTCAAGACCATAAACCTTTTAAAGATTTTATCGCATCAGTCGTGGGGGACAGACAGTCACTGTCTCATATCTCTGTTTCGAAGCCTGGTTCTGTCAGGCATAGATTATGGATGCATAGTATATCAGTCAGCCTCGAGGACAGCACTGAAAATGTTGGACCCTGTATACCACTTAGGTATCCGGCTGGCACTTGGTGCCTTCCGTACCAGCCCTATTCACAGCCTTTATGCATAGTCATATCAGTGGCCACCAGACTATCAGCGCACGTATCTAGGAGTCAACTATGCAGTTAAGATCATGTCTCGGAAGCAGCACCCATGCAAAACACTTATGAACGATGTGTCTACTACCCGGTTATACCTAAACCGTCCTTCTATCGCCCCACCGTTTTCATTGGCAATAAGACCTGCAGTAGAAAAACTTGCAATTTTTTTCAATGACTTAGAGGAAAGTGACCATGTCGAACACATCCCTCCCTGGCAGCAGTGTCCAGTCACTTGTGACTGGTCTTTCAAAGACATCATAAAGGAAAATTGTCCAAGTGCACTCATTGAGCAACATTTCTTGGCCCTTGAACACAAATATCGTTCAACCGCGTTCTTCTCTGATGGCTCAAAGTCTCAAACATCTGTATCTTGTGCAGCCTATGGACAAAAGTTCTCGGACACCAGAACCACGCATACACATACCAGCATTTTCACAGCGGAAGCCTATGGTATCCTGCCTATTACACAACACACTAAACAACACAAGATACAAAAGTCTATAGTGTACACAGATTCTTCAAGTGTTCAGGGCCCTGTCTTGTGGCAAGTACAGCAAGAACCCTACTTTCAACAAGCTCGTTAACGAAATCTATGCAGCCTACAACCTAAAACTTTCTATTGTTATTTGCTGGGTTCCAGGTCATTCTGGAATTGCGGGCAATGAGATAGTGGACAAGAATGCACGAGAAGCCGCTGGTCGGCAAACTATAGATATAACCTCTGTTCCGGGTGTAGATCTAAAACCTGTTGTACGTAGAGGTCTACGCAACCACTGGCAAGCTGAATGGGACAGAGAAGTCGACAACAAACTCCACCTTGTAAAACCCCAGCTGAGAAAAGTTATCCCCCAAAAACTCAACAGGTTCGCCGAAGTCACTCTAACATGGCTCAGAATAGGCCACACTTATGCCACACATAAACACCTTTTGACAGGCACTGATCCACCTACATGTATACACTGTGGAGAGAGTCTAACCGTTGTGCATGTCCTCATACAATGTCCTGTGCTTCACCAAGCACGACTTACCCATTTCAGGGAGCTCTATCGATATCATATCCCACTTCATCCAGCGCTGTTTTTATCACTTGATGCAGTGGTTGACCTCAACAGACTTCTTAATTATCTTGGGAAAGTCAAATTTTTAACAATATCATTCCATCCTAGCCACCAGGCTGCGCCTCAAGTGTGAGGTACCGCCTGGTGCATAAAAAGTATGTCTGAGCCTTCGCAGTTCTTGCTCAGGCAAGGACTTCAGCTGTGAGGGTCTTGAGCCTTGCAGACTAATTTATCATCACAGACTTCAGCCAACGAAATGAAGTTTTTTTTAAATCAAAGTGACATTTTTAAATGCACTGTGTTTTAAATGGTTCGTAGATATTTGCCACACATCATTTGTTTTAATTTTTAAACTAATAACTGAAATGAAACAACACTTATACTGGCGCTCTTTGGCCTTAGATGCCCTTGCGCCAATAAAACTTAACGTAAATAAAAAATAATATCTAGCTGGACCCAGACACAGCTGGATATTATGATTATCAGCGACAATTCTAGCGGGAAAACTTTCATTCCAGCTAGTAATGGGCAAACTGGCCGTGAAATTTTGCTGGAAAACTCATTTCCAGTTGTTAATTGGCTTTCCATTTTCATCTGGGTGCGCATGCTAAAGGAGGATGAGAAGGAAAAAAGCACCTTTTTCTGCTTCTTTTCTCGTATTACTTCAGCTTGCGTAGCAAGTCGAGTTTTCAAGTATGAACCAACTAGTTTGTAAAGAAGTGATGCCACAGCTTCGCTGGTCGAATACTTTTTTACCTTCATAGGGTAGATTGGAGTCCGTATCTTATTCCGTCAATGATTGATTTTATTGCATGTACAAAGTGGATGGCCAACAGCTGCTTCACGGAGACGCCACTCGAAGGGCAGCGGCAGATGCCTCAAGTGCCACGAGTACATCTGCCTGGTAGAACCGCACATTTTTCCAGCCGTGGTCACGTGTATCCAGAGGCAACTGGGAGATGTAGAACAAGAGGTCAGCAAACACCGGAAATCCGGTGACGCGATGGTGGTCAAACTCTGAAGGTGCCCACAGCAAGTGCCGGGTCAGTGGACGTCCCGGAAGCCCAGTCGGCTTCAACAGTGCCTGTTCCGCCGCCGACATTCTGTCGTTGAGGGCACGGAGCTTACCTGCACTGCGCCGTCACCGAAATGAAAAAAAAAGTAGTAAACTTGAGACCCATGTGCGCCACTTTCATGAACAACATATCCCACCGATCTACCACAATGTGCGCGGTAGATGCTGGTGTATACATGAGCATTTGGCGAAATAAAAAGTTGGAACACCAGGCTCGTTCGTGTGTCTCCGTACATTATATTTTGCTGGTGCGGGAAGATGCGGGAAATAGGCAAGCTGAAGCTGGCGTCTGCTGATCGCTTTGGCCTGTGGAAAACAAGTGACACTGCAGTGAAAGCAATAAAATGCAATAGTCTTAAAGGGCTCTGCATTGTTTTTTTCAGTATGGTCCGAAAATGCTGCAGATAGGCTGTCGAGGTTCATGGGAACAGCCGAGCTGAAGATAACCATTATTATGCTGTACGCGCCCTGGACATTGTAATTAATTGCCAGTGTCAGCTATAAATCGTTCCCTCTTGTCTGACAAAACATGTAATAAACCCAAATATAGCTCCATGAATGCCAAGTCCTAATGCATTCGCTGACTTGAACACCGTGAGCTGCAAAGTTATTGTGACCCCCACAGTAAGCCACCACATGCGCATGCGCGTGCTCCTGATCACACAGAAAGTAAGCTGTGTATTGAAAAAAAAATAAAATTAAGTAATGTGCTCAAGGGCATAATTCACGCTGACAAACAGACGCGTCTTCTTGCGCTGTTGCCAGCCCCCTCCAGCGTAGCTTTCGCCTCACTGGTACCAGAGAAAAGGGGGCGACAAATCCCTCACTTAAAGCAGGCAACAAATCCCTCTAGCTCTGCTCGTACTTAAAGGATTGCAAAGACGTTTGCTGCAGTTGATTCGCGAGGCAAGAAGCTTTTTATGAAGTTATTCGATGACTAACTTGCAGAGCCCCATGCTCCCTTTATTGAACATCGAATAGAGCAAACAAAAAAGCACTGTTTAGAAAGACAACGGACCGGATGCATTGGGCTCAGGGGGACATTGTGATGATGATATATGGTGTTTTTTGGCGCAAGGGCCATTTGATGGCCAAAGAGCGCCAGTTCATGCGACAAGGAATGTGGACGATGATTGTGATTAGCGGCTGTATAAGGGCCATAAAGTTCCTCGCGGTAAGGCGGGTAAAAACATACAAGTAATAAAATCATGACCATGCCGTGAAAGCTGTGTGTGATGCGAATAGATGAACAAAGTTGGTGATAATAAAAGACGATGGTGGATATGTATGGCATTAGCACAAGTGCCTCACTCGTTCATACCCTTGCGTCCAAGGGCCGTGAGGCAAGTGCTTTCTTGTGTAGCCACCGCAGTGAAAACCTCTCAGGAGAGGTCGTGCTACGGAATGCCCGGGTATATGATATGAAAACTATGAATTTCTTTTAAAAGCGCTAGCAATGATTTATAACTAAAAAGCGGTTCCCTACCGATGAACATTGCAGGGTGTAAAGGTATATGTTGTCGATAGGGTAATGGAAAGTGTTGTTTTCTTATAGTGTCCAATTGTTTGCACTGAATTGAAATGTGAAGAACTGTTAGTGCTTCACCACATCTGTCCCACAATGGTGGGTCGGCACCGGACAAAAGATATGAGTGTGTCGTGTACGAGAGTCTCGTTAGTATTAGCTCTGTATGACGCGATTTTGATACTGGCAGCCAATGACCAAGGTGTGGCTTAATAATGTGTAGTTTGTTTTGTGTGTGTGTATCCCACTTGCTCTGCCAGTAGTCCCTGAGGTTTCGTTTGAGAGTCGGCTTAAGACCGAGGGCCGGGATTAATATGGGTGTAGGGGCAGTGCTTTTGTGGACGGATGCAGCGAGCTGATCCGCCCTCACGTTGCCTTCGAGCTCACGGTGCCCTGGCACCCAGCACACTACAACATGTTGTTTGAGTGTGTAGAGTGTGCACAAAATGGAGTAAAGTGAGACAAGGACCGGTTTTTTTTGTTTTTAAGACTGTGCAGAGCCATTACCACACTGAGGGAGACTGTATAAATTACTGCTTTTTGTATTTGTAATTGTTTGATGTGTTTAGCTGCCACAAGTATCGCGTAAGCTTCCGCTGTGAAGATACTTGTGCCTGGATGTAGAGGGCCAGCATCCGAAAAGGATGGGCCAACAGCAGCGTAGGAACACAGAGGAGTTGGACTTGGAGGCATCTGTAAAGAACTCAGTACGTGTGTATTTGTGTTGAAGTTCCAGAAAGTATGTTCGAATATGGGCAATAGGCGCATAGTTTTGTAACTTCTAGAAAGGACACATCGCAGTCGATAGTCTGCCATTGCCACGGTGGCGGATATGCTACAGGAGCCATTAAACTGTGTTCAAGTGAGACTCCAGTTTCTTCAGCTAGACTTTTCAGGCGAACTGAGAAGGGCTGCCTCATCGAAGGCCTGTTTTGAAACAGAATTGAGCTCGACAAATCATTAAGAGTAGAATATGAGAAGTGCTTCTTATCCGCTTTCACCTTAAGGAAATAAACAAAGGACATGTAAGTTCTCTGCAGATGAAGCGACCACTCATTTGACTCAACATAAAGGCTTTCTACGGGGCTGGTGCGAAAAGCACCCGTAGAAATGCGGATGCCCAAATGGTGCACAGGGTCCAGGATCTTCAAAGCACTTTGAGTTGCAGACTGATAAACAAAGGCCCCATAATCTAAGCGGGTGCGAACGAGGCTTCGATACAGATTCATGACGCATTGCCTGTCACTACCCCAAGTAGTACGTGACAACACTTTTATAACATTCATGGCTTTTAAACATTTTGTTTTTAAATACTTTATGTGTGGTACGAAGGTCAACTTGTTGTCCAAGATTAAGCCTAAGAATTTATTTATGCTCGGTTTTGACGGACAGACGTTGCCCGTTCAGTCGAATGTCAGGTTCCGAGTGCATGCCTCTCTTTCGAGAGAACAAGACACACGTGCTTTTGTGTGGGTTAAGTCGAAATCCGTTTTCATCTGCCCATTCGGAGACCTTGTTTAAACCCAGCTGAACCTGCCGCTCACACATTGCCAAGTTGCATGACTTGAAGCCAAGCTGAACGTCGTCGACATATGTACAATAGAACATATTGCGGGGGATGGACAAGAGCAAGGAATTCATTTTGATAATAAAAAGTGTGCAACTAAGCACACCACCTTGTGGCACGCCTGTTTCCTGGACAAATGTTTGTGAGAGAACACTGCCCACACGGACACGGAATGTCCGGTTTAACAGGTAACTTTCGATTATGTGAAACATTCTTCCGCGTACCCCAAGGTGGGACAGGTCTCTTAGAATTCCAAAATGCCATGTTGTATCATAAGCCTTTTCGATATCGGGGAACACAGAGAGAAAATATTGTTTATGGACGAAGGCGTCTCTGATCTGTGCCTCGATACGAACAAGGTGGTCTGTGGTGGATCTACTTTCTCGAAACCCGCAATGAAATGGGTCGAACAAATTGTTTGTTTGAAGGATATGTACAAGTCGGCAGTTTATCATTTTTTCGAAGACCTTGCACAAGCAGCTTGTAAGTGCAATAGGCCTATAACTTGACGCTAAAGAAGGGTCCTTGCCCTCTTTCAAAATGGGAATAATAGTAGCCTCTTTCCAGGAGGTAGGGATAGCGCCAGAAAACCAGATAGCATTGTACAAACAGAGTAAGGTTTTTCGTGTTTCTGCTGGTAGGTTTTTTAACATTTCATACACCACACGGTCAGAACCTGGGGCAGAAGTGCTGCAGGAGTTTAGAGATGTTCGGAGCTCAGCTAGACTGAAAGCTTGGTTATATGCTTCGTATCTAGTGGATTTGCGTTCGAGTTTCTGCTTTTCTATTCTTGTTCTGTATTTTTCGAAAGTGTCAGTATAGTGGGATGAGCCGGATACCCGTTCAAAGTGTGCACCGAGGAAGTTTGCCTGATTTTCCAAGGTATCACCCTGAGTGTTAATGAGTGGGAGTGAGCGTGCTTTTCTTCCTGCTACCCTACGAACCATGTTCCAGACTTTGGCCTCTTGTGTATACGAATTTATCCCTGATAAAAACTTGTGCCAACTTTCTTTTCTGGCGTGCCGACGCGTTCTCCTGCCTCGAGATTTTATTTTCTTAAAGCTCTCAAGGTTTTCCGCTGTCGGCGAGTTCCGCAGCAACCTCCATGCCCTGTTCTGTTCCTTTCGCGCATTACGACACTCTGTGTTCCACCATGGGACGTGTCGTTTGCCGGGCATTCCAGATGTTTGCGGTATGCACTTGGCTGCTGCGTCAGTTAGAAAAGCTGTGAAATACTGCACAGCTTCATCTATGTTTAACCTACATATGTCTGTCCAATTCAAACGTGTAGTGTTATGGAACTGTTCCCAGTCTGCTTTGTTTATCAGCCATTTGGGAACGTGTAGAGGACCTTCATATGTGTTTTGTGAACTCAACACTACAGGAAAATGGTCACTACCATATAGATTATTTATGATTTTCCATTTGAGTAGGGGTAGGAGTGAAGGTGATACGATGCTGAGGTCGATAGACGAGTAAGTTTTGTTGGCAACGTTATAGTATGTTGGCTCTTTCTTATTCAACAAACAGGCACCGGAAGAGAAGAGAAATTGTTCAATGAGACGACCTCGCGCATCACAGCGAGAATCGCCCCACAGTCCACTATGTGCATTTAGGTCCCCAAGAAGCAAATAAGGTTCTGGCAGTTCGTCTATTAAAGACTGAAATTCACGTCTTTCAAGACGGTGGTGGGGAAGTACATACAAAGAGCAGATGGTGACGAGTTTGTTTAAAAGTACCGCTCGAACAGCCACCGCCTCAAGAGATGTCTGGAGTGGTAAATGTGTACACGCTACTCCTTGGTTAATAATAATGGCTACGCCACCGGATGACGCCACAGCATCATCTCGGTCCTTTCGGTATATGACGTAAGCACGTAAAAAATTCGTATTGGAGGATTTTAGGTGTGTTTCCTGTACACACAGCACTTGAGGTGAGTATTTGTATAAAAGCTCTTGTACGTCGTCGAGGTTCTTAAGCAGTCCTCTGACGTTCCAATGTATAATTTGTGTGTCCATATTGGAAGTAAAGTAGTGCTGTGTGTACGTTAAGGGAGTGACTTGTTTAAGCTGAAAGGTGGAGCTCAAGTACCAGGGCCATTGTCAGGTCCTGTTATGAGCTTTTTAGTTCTCTTGGCGCGCTCCAGAGAGCCGCGCCGTTCTTTTGGCACCAGGGATGCCCCCGTATCCATTGCCTCCTCGGAGGCTCTGGATGCCCGCTCATGCGAGCTGGTTTTTCGAAGCTTGGGCCTCGCCTGGCGAGGTGAGGCCTTGAGACCCGAGGACCCTGGAGTCTCTGGTCTCTGTTCAATAGTAGGCGGAGTAGACTCAACTACTGCCGCCTGGGGGGCAGGCGCCACAGCCAATGGCTCGCTCTGCGCAGGCCGAAGGAGTGGCGAGGGCTGGTGCGACACTGCCCCCTGGCGCGCCGCATCAGCATATGTGGGGCCATAAAATGGCGAGACTCTTTTTCTTGCTTCTTTAAATGTAATGTTTTCTTTTATATTTAAAGTGATGATCTCTTTTTCTTTTTTCCAAAAGAACATGAACGTGAGTACGCGCCATGATTTCCGCCACAGTTCACACAGTGTGATGGTTCTTCGCAATTGTCAGAATTGTGGCCTGACACTCCACATTGTGCACAAGTTTGGTGGCCACGACAGCTTTGTGAGCCGTGGCCATAATTCTGGCATTTAAAACAACGACCCGGGTTAGGTATGTATGGTCTGATCGACGTGTTTGTGTACCCTGTTTGAATACTTTCTGGCAGATTACTGGAAGCGAACGTGAGTATCAGGTGTTTCGTTGGTGTTACCTTGTTGTCTCTTTAATGGTGATCCTTTGTACATTGGTCACATTCTGACTCTTCCACCCCTCCAGAAGTTCCTCTTCAGTCAAGCCGAGCAAATCAGCATCAGATACTACTCCACGGGTTGTGTTCATCGATCTGTGTGGCGTTACAGTGATAGGAGTGTCACCAAAAGTTGATAGATTCTGTAGCTTTTCAAACTGTTCTTTTTCTCGAACTTCAAGGAGGAGGTCTCCGCTGGCCATTTTGGTAACTTTGTACTCGGCTCCAGGAGTTTCTGTGAGACATCTGGCTACTACAATGGGGGATACAGTTCTGGCTTGCTTGCTGCTTATCTCACTATGTATAACATGAAAATGGGGGAAGTTTTCACTTGATCGGTTGAAAAAGCCTAAGTATTCGGTGCGTACACGCTTTAAGGCGGTACGATCACTTAATAAGGGAAATGCTCTATGCATGCCAGTTTAATTTTTTCAGAAGCGTTGGCGGCCACCCACCACGGAGCCCAACGAGGGGACGCTACAAGTTTGTGGATGCTAAAACCTGCAGACGCCAGCCGTACAACGCAGTTATAACCGAATGCACCTAGACCAAGGTAGGCTATTTTCACAGGGTTAACCCTAGCCGCCAGGAAGTTTGGAAGTAAACGGAAGAGAGTAGAAGACAGGACAGATAAATAGTAAGAGATAAGGACGAAGATGTATGGAGAGAGAAATAGGAAAAGGCGACTACCGATTTCCCCTGGTTGGGTCAGCCCAGGTGTGCCGTCTACGTGAAGCCGGGCCAAAGGGGTGTGTTGCCGCCACCGGGGGGCCTTAGAGGTCCAATCACCCAGCATTAGCTCAACCCCCAGGATCCCCTTTTCCCCGGACACGGCAAAGCCACGCACGGCTAGGCGTGGGAGGGAGTAGAAACTCCCCCGTTAGCTCGGGTCCGTGGTGTCGCTTGCGCAGGCGCCCCTGCGGGCAGGGGGACATTGTCAAAAATTTTAGTCGGACAGGGGTGAGGACATGACCACCTTGCAGCATGAATATATATATATATATATATATATATATATATATATATATATATATATATATATACATATATGGTGTGTATGTGTATTTGTGTGCGCACAAATCGTTAAACATCTCGTAGGACGGGGTGTGAATTCTCCCCACGCGAATGATTTGCGTCTATTACACTAGGCAGTCACGCGGAGTAACTTGTGTCATTGCACCACAGTGTGCCTGGGCCCGACGCGAAAGGTCGTAGTATATTTTGAATGAAAAGGTGCACTCAGTTGGAAAATCAGTTTCCTGTAGCTTTTCATATTTAGAGAGATGCAGCGATTAGGAAGCAACAATATTTAGCCAGAGCTAGTTCCCCCCTTCATGTTCATTTTGTGAATAGCTAGAAAAATCAACTCACTTGACGACTCAGCAATGTTTGATTTGCAAATGCCATACAATTTATTTTCGTTTTGCAGAGAATACGTTCAAGGCACATGTAAAATATCTGCAGGGTCGGAATGAACAAGCAAATGGTGCTGCTTGCTAAATTAATCCAGTCTCGAGGTCAGTTAATTCATGTTCGTAGTCTCGTTTTCTGTATCTATGTTTGCATAATATAGTTTTGGTGTCAGGAATACCGGCAGAGGAGAGCCCTGGGGCGAGAAGATAATGTCGTGTTCTCCATCAAAGCAACTATACAGTTGATACTATGTCGAGAGACGCCTTGCCTAACCAGAGGGTAGCACACCGCACTTGTCCCCTCCTCGCGGAACTCTTTTTTGCCTTGGAAAATAGAGCCCAAAGTGTCACTCTATCACATGTGCCAGCCTGTCCCACTTCGGATCAAAAAGATGCCCTTCCTCCACCCCCCGAAAAAAATTTCTGGCTACTGTCCTGCCCTAATGACCGAAGCGCGGCTACCGATATTCTCCGCGACTAAAGAAATAGTCCCGTTCATGCGCTCGGCAATCTTCTTCAAAAGTGGGGTTGCCGGCCGCCTGGCTCATAATGTGATAATAAAGTGCACGCCTGTTGTACAGGCTTGCGCATTTGAGGAGATAGTGCGGCTGCATATTTCTAAAGTTGCACGCGACTAAGTGATATCATTTTCTAATGGCATACACCCTTATGTTTCAAAATTGAGCTTAGCACCCACCCACCAGTGTTGCAGTCAGTGTTATTTACCACAAACCTTGTCTCGTTCAGGTGAGTGAGATGTTCCGTCCACTGGTCAGCCGCCCTCTTGAAGTGCTCGATGGCCAAGCGCAAAGCGTCTGCGGATTGAACATTTACCTTGTAGCGTACCCGACCGCGGCATTAAGTACACTCACTTAAAATTATTGTGGCAAAATTGTCTAACAAGTCATTTCCTTCAGCAAGTAAAGGACATTTTTCTCTATTATGCGGAATCTCAAAACAAGCTGCAATAACCTATTTCTTACTTGCCTATTTCTAACTTTCTTACATGCGCGCTGTGATTGCAAGCGCCCATTGACGCCAGTAGCAGAGCAAAATGCGAAAAAAGGACGTTTGCTCAAAGGGAACTTGAGGACTTGTAAGTGATAACTTCACTTTTCGTGCACCAATTTGCATCGTTCTTAATGCATTCTTCTCGGTAATCATTGCTACACGCGTTCTGATGTTAAATAAGGCTCTTGTAAAAAGTTTCGCAGGGCGCCTTTAAGAGAATATGGGGAGTAACGTGTGTGCCTTTCATAACAGCTGGCCGGCTTCAAACTACCAAGTAATTATAATCACATGTTGCGACGTCTGACGGCAATGTACGCTTGTAGCAGAAATAGTAATGTCATATAACATGTGTTGTGAAGATGTTAAAAAGGACACATGTGTTTGTAAAGCATGAAAATATATTGTTACGTAAAAATGACACGAGGCGTGTCTATCTAGAATCTATATTGAAACTGATGCGTATAGCATCGACTAAGATGGAGGACCGCACGCACAACCGACAGACCACTTCCTCGTTCTCGTCTTCTGACCGCTCATATGTCAGCTACGAAGCATTACTTCCCCCCCCCCCCCCACGGCGGTAAAAGCACACCCTTGGTGCACATTAATTACGGTCTTCAGTAGGCAGGTGGTAAGGTTTTTACCTGCTGACGTGCACAACACCACTGGGTGGCATTACAGGCAGGCTTGTGGTCTCAGACGCAGGAATGATCTCATTGGTGACGTCGGCTACCTGGCGGGTGATACTGTAAGGACCCATGTAGCGAGACAACTTTTCTGATAAGCCAACTCGACGAACTGGGCACCACAGGAGAATGATAGAACCGAGTGAGAAACGAACGTCAACATGCCAGCTGTCGTAGATGGCTTTCTGGGTGGCTTGCAAAGTCGAAAGTCTAGAGCGGGCGATCTGACGTGCGTGGTTAGCACGAGCAATAGCGTCGCGTGCATATTAGGTTGACGGCGTTGTAGTGGTTAGAAGTAGGGTGTCGAGTCTTAACGTCGAATCAGGGCCATAGAGTAAATAAAAGGGTGAATGACCAGTGGTGTCGTGGCGCAAAGAATTGTACGCGAAGGTCACGAGAGGTAGCGCCAGGTCCCAGTCATGGTGGTCGGAGGACACATACATCGCGAGCATGTCCACAAAGGTGCGATTTAGGCGTTCGATAAGGCCATTTGCTTGGAGATGGTAGGAAGTGGTGAACTTGTGGTGCGTCGAGGAAGAGTGCAGAAGATCGTCGATTAGTCGGGACAGAAATGTGCGGCCGCGATCCGTGAGTAATTGGCGAAGAGCACCATGGTGTAGGATGACATCGTGGAGCGAAAAGTCCGCAACGTCAGTAGCGGTGCTGGTGGGGAGCGCTCGAGTGATGGCATACCTAGTCGCGTAGTCTATAGCAACGGCGACCCACTTATTGCCCGATTTCGACTCGGGAAAAGGACCGAGAAGATCTATACCAACACGGAAGAAAGGTTCGGTTGGGATGGAGATCTGTTGAAGAAGTCCAGCTGGGGGCGCAGTAGGTTGCTTCCTACGTTGGCATTTATCGCAGTAGGGCACATAACGGCAAACGGACCTGTCAAGACTGCGCCAAAAGAAGCGGCGACGCACACGGTTGTTGTCACAAAACGAGCGCTCAAAAAGGGCGCGCCGCCAAATTCTCGCGACGAAGCACCGAGAGGTCAACGATAAAGAAAACAAGCATCCAAAGACTCCCCGGGCGCGCGTCCCTCTCCCCTCGGAAGCGTGGCTTCGCCGACGAACCTCCTCTCATCGGCGGCCGAACAAGTCCTGGAAATTTCTCGATGGAAAGGGGCGTGGTGATGCAGTGTTGCGTCATCCGCCGCGGACGGCCCTCGTGCCGTCTCGCGCTTTTCCCCAGCCCTCGCTGCGCATCGCGCCGACAAAATGAGAACTTTCTGAAATCTCGCGCGGAAGGTATTTAATCGAGCAGCCGAGATGGGAGAGCAGGAGAAAAAGGAAGTTAGCGCCGGAGTGCGCTGGGTATCCCGCCACGTCAGTCGGTGAAGGTTTTGTCCTTTGTGACAAAGCAGGAGAAGAAGAAAGTATGCGCCAGAGTGCGTAGGGTGTTCCGCCTTGTGGGCGAAGCCTTTTGTCTTCCGTGACAAAGGGGGAGAAGAAGAGAATTTCCACCTGAGGGGTGAAGGCTCGAGCTACAGGCAAGAGTTTGTGTCTACCTCTATCGAGCGAAGACGCGTGGCAACAGCTGCGTGTGTGAAGCCGACGTGTTTCCGGCGAAGAAGTTTGGAGCCTGGAGAGCGGCCAATTGCAGACGTGAGGTTTCCTGGAAAAGAAACTTCAGGGGCAGCGGAACGACAACAACGCTGGACTTTGAGTGAGTGATTCTCGGAAGAGTATCATTCAGTCTTTTGTTCCAAGGACTTTGGACTCAATAAGTTTTCGAACTCTTTAGTCTTTAAGTGTCTTGGTTGTTCGATGCATGTGACTGCATTGTAGTGCGTATTGTTGTCTGTGTCCGTTGTTTCGAGTGTGGCTTATTGTACTGTGTAGCACATTGTTTGATTGGTGACATATTGTATTCAACTATTGTCGAGTGTGCATATTTGTGTATCGTTTTTATCTGCCATTATTAAGAATATAATTTTGTTTTGTTTATCAACTCTCGGCTCTGACTTGTTCTTTGGGCCACAGTCGGCGTCCGCTGGCGCGCCAAAAAGGACCACTTCTAAATTGTCCACGCTTTTGTGGTGCGGTTCGGGGGGCCGATACTTCGGCCCTTGGAATTAGCTCGGCGATTGCCTCCCGAATTAACAGGACCTGTGACAGTTGTACGTCTGAGATACACCCAGATGACCAGCAGTTGGTTCATAATGAAGCTCGTGCAGCACGGTTGAACGCAAATGTTTCGGCACGACAAGAAGAAGCTCGGGGCCATCCGGCTAGAGGCTACGATGGTACAGCGTGTCATTCAGGAGGACGTACATGCAAAGCGATGCGTCGTTCGGAGCAGATTCGAGATGGTCAATAAGTTGTCGCAAGGAAAAATCACGACGTTGTTCATCACCAATCTGAAGAAACTGGGACATTGACATGACGATGAGGCTAGGCTTGATGTCTGATTCGTCGGGCTGATCAACAGGGTAGAGGGATAAGCAATGGGCGTCCAGATGAAGACGTCCAGACTTATAAGCAACTGAGTAGGAATACTCCTGTAGGCGTAATGCCCAACGGCCAAGTCGTACAGTGGGGTCCTTCATAGAAGAAAGCCAACACAGCGCGTGATGATCTGTGATGAAACGGAAAGGACGGCCATACAAGTAAGGACGGAATTTCGAAACAGCCCAGACAAGGGGGAGACATTCCCGTTCTGTCATAGAGTAATTGCGTTCAGACATTGAAAGCAGACGGCTTGCATACGCGATTACACGGCCATTGCCCCGCTGAATTTGCGCCAAAACTGCACCAATTCCGTGACCACTCGCGTCTGTTCGCACTTCTGTAGGAGCACCGGGGTCAAAATGTGCAAGAATAGGAGGTGTCATTAGAGCGGTGATTAGCTGAGAAGGCGTCAGCTTGAAGCGTGCCCCCAAAAAATGGGACGTCTTGTTTGAGAAGGTCGGTGAGTGGCCGTGCGAGTGCCGCAAAGTTTTTCACGAACCGGCGAAAGTAGGAGCAGAGGCCCACGAAACTGCGAACATCATGGACTGAGTTTGGGACTGGGAAGTTTGTTACAGCGCGTGCTTTCGCCTGGTCTAGTCGTATGCCGGCAGGGTCAACAAGGTGACCCAACACGGTAATCTGACGGAGACCGAAGTGGCACTTGGAGGAATTGAGCTGCAGACCGGCCCGTCAAAATGTGGATAGAATGGTCTGAAGGCATTCAAGGTGGGTTGCAAAGGTAGGTGAGAAAATGATCGCGTCGTCCAGGTAACACAAACGTGTCGGCCATTAAAATCCTCGGAGGAGCATGTTCATCATTCTCTCGAAGGTCGCTGGAGCATTACAGGGACCGAAGGGCATGACCTTGAATTGGTAAAGACCGTCACGGGTAACGAAGGCGGTCTTTTCTCGGTCTATGTCATCTACAGCAATTTGCCAGTAGCCAGATCGGAGGTCGAGAGATGAAAAGAAGGTGTCGCCATGGATGCAATCGAAGGCATCGTCAATGCGTGGTAGAGGGTACACGTCTTTTTTGGTAATTTTGTTGAGGTGGCGATAATCGACGCAGAAATGCCATGATTCGTCTTTCTTCTTTACTAATACCAAGAGAGAAGCCCAAGGGCTCGAGGATGGTTGGATTACGTTTTTCGTAAGCATTTTGGCCACTTCTTTCTGAATCACTTCTCGCTCGGACGCTGACACGCAGTACGGCCGACGGTGAATGGGCGCAGAGTCACCAGTGTTGATTCAGTGAGTGACAATTTTAGTATGGCCCAAAGGACGAGCGTCGGTGTCGAAAATGTCACTGTATGAGGCCAAAACTTGGTAGAGAGAATCGGCCTGGTGATGCGAAAGCTTCGATCCAATCAATGTTTCGAAAAATAGCATCGTCTGAGCTGGGCTACCGTGAGACTGCTCTTAGATCAGGAGCACATACAGCGACAATACCGACATCGTGCTCTGTTATGGCAGTCAGGAGGAGCGGATAGAACACAACGTTATCCGCTATGTTCGCGATGGTATGGGGCAGAGTAACACTGCTCGTCAGCCGAACGTCAGTAATCGGCGTAACAATATAATCACCGTCAGGAACGGGAGGGGTCGAAGACAAAGACACGTACTAGACGGCTCGAGGGGGCAGGCAAACGAAAGTGCTTGGGCTCAAGCGGCTGGTGGGCTTTGCGGAGTAGTCGGCAAAGATTGGAAGATAGAGGCTGAGGGTACCAGACGAACAGTCAATCGAGGCCGAGTGTGCCGAAAGGAAATCAAGGCCAAGTATGAGGTCATGAGGGCAACAGGCTAGCATGGTGGAAAGGACCACGGCGTGGCGACCGGCAATGCTGGCACGAACAGTGCACATTCTGATTACTGGTACAGTACTGCCATCGGCAACACATATTGCCTGCGTAGTAGACGGCGTCATAATTTTTTGCAAGCGGTGGTGTAGAGAAGCGCTCATAATAGACAGGTGCGCACCTGTGTCAAAGAGGGCGATCACAGGAACATGGTCGGCTTGTACATCTAGTTTTCCTGCTGCGATTGTCCAGAGAAGCTCGGCGAGAAAAAGCGACGAGGTGGCGGAGAGCGGGATTAGTGATGTAGCGGCGACGGGGAGCAGGAGCTGCGGCGATTGGATGAAGGGGCGTCAGTGTAGCGGCAACCGGGCAAAGGGGCGTCAGTGGAAGGCTCATGAGATGACGACGAATAGAAATTCGTCATCATCTCATAGGGGTCGTCGGGTGCATGTGCGCAGAGGTAGAGAAGGTCTGGCGTGGTTGGTTTGACCAACTGCGGCGGCAATAGTGAGAAACGTGCCCTGGCTGGTGGCAGGAAAAACAATTAGGCCAGTCGTCAGGTGTTCGCCATTCCGAAGGGTTACGGAAGGGCATTGCTGGAGGTAAAGGGTGAGCGTGTCTTGGGGAGTAAGACGGGACTTCAGGGCGAGTCAAGAGACATGCTGATGGAAGGCCAAGGTTCGCAAACTTCTGCCTCACCACAGCTTGTATTAACGCTACTGATGACTGTTGTTGGTCAAAGGCGAGCGTTACGAAAACGGGTGGCTGAAGAGGAGCCGGACAGGCAGCTTCGATTTCCCGACGAACAATGCGCGTGACGTTGTCATACGTAAAGGACTGACGGGCGGCTTCGCACAATGAGGTTGCGGCCGCGTTGGGCAGCCGGGTGAATCGCTGAGTAATACGGCGGCTCTTGGCTTCGAACCGCCGGCACTCTTTAATGATGGCGTCGAGGGTCGCAACATTGTTGTATACTAGAAGATTAAAGGCGTCGTCTGCTATCCTTTCAGCACATGGGCCACTTTTTCAGACTCACTCATGCGCTCGTCAATCTGGAGGCATAAGGCTATGACGTCGTGAATGTACGCGACGTACGACTCCGTCGACGTCTGTGCACGAGCCGCCAGTTGATTCCGCGCTGCGATCTCAAACGGTGTCACCAAAAAGGTCACGGATCTTCTCTGTAAAGGATGTCCAGCTTGTAATTTCCGTTTCGTGCGTCTCGAACCACACTCGTGGTGGGCCATTGAGGTAAAAAAAAAACACATAGGCAAGCATAAGAGTCGGGTCCCACTTGCAGCTCGCGCTGACCCATTCGTACCGGTTGATCCATTTGTCGACGCCAACGCCATCCTTACCGGAAAATACACCGGGATCACGAGCAGGAGGTAGAACGACGTACGTAGAAGTCACGCAAGGGGCAGGTGGTAAAGACGATGGTTGTCCAGCTTGTGACATGGTTGGACCAATGATGATGTAACCGTTGCGAAGCTTCGTGATGAAGACAGGGAAATACCCAGCACTTCCACCACAAAGATGTTACGTAAAAATGACTCGAAGCGTGTCTATGTAGAATCTATATCGAAACTGATGCGCATAGCATCGACTAAGATGTAGGACAGCACGCACAATCGATAGACCACTTCCTCGTTGTCGTCTTGTGACCGCTGATATGTCAGCTACGTAGCAATATTTCACTGCCTTTCAGAGCAGATGAGTGGCTGTATGGTAGAACGCCTGCTTGCCACGCAAGGGGGCGGAGTTCATGCCTCACTCCAACGTGAAAACTTTTATTTATTTTATTTGCATCTTTCTCAATATTTCGGTCATGAAGAAGATTAGTTTACGCTCCCAACCAATGACGCCGACGCCGATATTCCTGCGAAACAAGTTCTCTAACGCTATCGTGTTAATAAACAAAAAAGCTACAAATAATGTGATTCTAATACCGAAACAGCTAATATTTTATCACTTGTACTTCATACTATATTTTTTTCGCAGCTGTAGTAAAAGCAGCAAACAGCTTTCTTTTTTTCAGATTTTCCTGTCTTGGCAACATGCTACAAAAACGTAGGGACGCTGTTACGAACCGCCATTTTCGGTTCTATACAATGTGCTCCAAATGCTCTTGTTCATTAGAATTCACTGCTAAATGGCCACTGACGTTATGTTCACACGTATACAACAATAAAACATCTGAAAACTCCCATACATGATTCACTAAACAAAACCACAGGACAATTGCTGGTAACAACGGTTGCGGCTCCTGCCATTTCTGCATTATGTTAGTTGTTTGCAAGAAATTTGGCTTGCTGCGCAGCACTTTAGTCGCACTTTTTTTTTCTCACTGACCGAGAGACACGCCATTCAGCTCCAGTTCCATAGCGAAGGGCGACTCGCGAAGCTCCTCCAGCGACTCCTTGAGGCGAAGCGCGGAGGCTGAAAAATTCACTGGTATCAGGAGTGAATCAGCAGCGAGCCACAGTGCAGCGCCGTGAAGCCGAGCACAGAGAGGCGCTAGGCGAGCGTCTGTCCAGTTGTAGAGGCGTAGAGTGTCGTACGCCGTGTGGTAAGCAGCGTACGTCGCCTCGCCACTTTTATTGCTCTTCTGTTCAAAAGAGAAAATAAGAAATTACCAGATTATATATGTACTAATAGCGAAAGTTGGGCTAGTTGGTGGTTCATAGTTGGAAGTAAAAACAGCGCAAAAGTATAGACAACGATGTCAGCGCGGTGTCATCTTTTCCTCTGTCCTTGTCTATATTTTTGCGCTGTTTTTACTTCCCAATTATGTATGTACGTATACATATTCTCTGGGTGGCCCAAGTATCATGCCGCAGTATTAAAAAGAGGAGCAACGTTACGCGAAGCAAATTTAGTGCATATTGTTCCCGGCATACCGTAGTAGCCATTACTAAGTTTTCATTATTTAGTTTCGTTCTTGGGCCTTAATTGACAAGTACTCAGCTAATCATCACAATGTCAATATGGCATATGTAGGTATGCTAAAATTAGTTGTGACAACACTATTTGACAAAACATACTGATCACGTGCTCATTTTCTGCAGGCTGAATGTTTTTGTCAGCCTGAAGATATGAAAAAAAAATAACACGCGACTCCGGTACCACTGGCAAAAGGTGAGAGCATAGTCTTCATTTGCTGCCTCAGAGTGATTTTATTTGATGGCGATTCTTCCTGGCGCCTGCTGCAGCCTAGCTATTGTGTCATTTTTCAGATTTCGCGGACTTTCTTTATTATCCCCCTAAAAATGGCATGCAAAATTTGTATTGTGTTGAAAATAACGCAGTCAGATGTAATTTCAAAATGCCTAAATGTGGCTCATTGACATTTTCTTGGTGAGGTGAGCATTTCCGAGTTGGAAAAGTAAATCATCATCAGCCTGACTACGTCCACTGCAGAACAAAGGCCTCTCCCATGTTCCGCCAGTTAACCCGGTCCTGTGCTTGCTGCTGCCAATTTATACCCGCAAACTTCTTAATCTCATCTGCCCACCTAACCTTCTGTCTCCCCCTAACCCGCTTCCCTTCTTTGGGAATCCAGTCAGTTACCCTTAATGACCAGCAGTTATCCTGTCTACGCGCTACATGCCCTGCCCATGTCCATTTCTTCTTCTTGATTTCAGCTATGATATCCTTAACCCCCGTTTTTCCCTAATCCACTCTGCTCTCTTCTTGTCTCCTAAGGTTACCCCTACCATTTTTCTTTCCATTGCTCGCTGCGTGTCCTAAATTTAAGCTGAACCCTCTTTGTAAGTCTCCAGGTTTCTGCTCCGTAGCTAAGTACCGGCAAGATACAGCTGTTATATACCTTCCTCTTGAGGGATAGTGGCAATCTACCTGTCATAATTTGAGAGTGCTTGCCGAATGTGTTCCACCCCATTCTTATTCTTCTAGTTACTTCAATCTCGTGGTTCGGCTCTGCAGTTATTACCTGCCCTAAGTAGACATAGTCTTTTACAACTTCAAGTGCACTATTACCTATCTCGAAGCGCTGCTCCTTGCCGAGGTTGTTGTACATTACTTTCGTTTTCTGCAGATTAATTTTAAGACCCACCTTTCTGCTCTCCTTGTCTAACTCCGTAATCATGAGTTGCAATTCATCCCCCGAGTTACTCAGCAATGCAATGTCATCGGCGAAGCGCAGATTACTAAGGTATTCTCCATTGACTCTTATCCCTAACTGTTCCCATTCTAGGCTTCTGAAAACCTCCTGTAAGCACGCGGTAAATAGCATTGGGGAAATTGTGTCCCCCTGCCTTACACCCTTTTTGATTGGCATTCTATTGTTTTTTTTATGAAGCACTATGATAGCACGACAATAGTTATAGCGCGAGAACAAAACGAAGACACAGAGACAAGAAGGACACGAAAGACACGAGCGCTGTCTCTGTGTCGTCGTTTTGTTCTCGCGCTATAACTATCATCATGCCATACCAACTAGCCCAAGCTGCCACACTACTATGGTAGCAGTTGATCCCCTGTAGATTTCTTCCAGAATATTTATATATACTTCATCTACCCCCTGATTCCGCAGTGTTTGCATGACGGCTGATATTTCTACTGAATCCAACGCCTTCTCGTAATCTATGAAGGCTATGTATAGTGGTTGGTTATACTCTGAGCATTTTTCTATTACCTGATTAATAGTATGAATGTGGTCAATTGTTGAGTAGCCTGTTCGAAATCCTGTTTGTTCCTTTGGTTGATTGAATTCTAATGTTTTCTTTACTCTGTTAGCAATTACCTTTGTAAATAGCTTGTATACTACAGAGAGCAAGCTGATCGGCCTGTAATTCTTCAAGTCCTTGTCATCTCCTTTCTTATGTATTAAGATGATGTTAGCGTTCTTCCAAGACTCTGGTACTCTTCCCAACAGGAGGCACCTCGTAAACAGGGTGGCTAGTTTTTCTAACACAATCTGTCCTCCATCTTTCAGCAGATCTGATGTTACCTGATCCTCACCAGCAGCTTTGCCCCTTTGCATGCTCTCCAAAACTTTTCTGACTTCTTCTATCATTACTGGTGGGGTGTAATCTGGGTTACTGCTAGTTCTTATAGTATTAAGGTCGTGGTTGTCTAGGCTACTGTACAGATCTCTGTAAAACTCCTCCGCTATTTTAACTATCCTATCCATATTGGTAGTTATTTTGCTTTCTTTGTCCCTTAGTGCATACATCCGACTTTTGCCTATCCCAAGTTTCGTCTTCAATGCTTTGACACTTCCTCCGTTTTTCAGAGCGTGTTCAATTCTCTCCATGTTATACCTTCTTACATCGCATACCTTACGTCTATTAATCAACTTCGAAAGCTCTGCCAGTTCTATTTTGTCTGTTGTACTTGACACTTTCATGATTTGACGCTTCCTAATTAGGTTCTTCGTTTCCTGGGAAAGCTTGCCAGTGTCCTGTCTAACTACCCTGCCTCCAACTTCCACTGCACACTCCGTAATGATACTCGTCAGATTATCATTCATTGTATCTACGCTAAGGTTGGTTTCCTCACTAAGAGCCGAGTACCTGTTCTGCAGCGACACTCTGAATTCCTGTACTTTCCCTCTCAGTGCTAGCTGTTTGATTGGCTTCTTGCGTATCAGTTTCTGTCGTTCCTTCTTCAAGTCTAGGCGAATTCGAGACCGTACCATTCTATGGTCACTGCATCGTACCTTGCCAATCACTTCCACATCCTGCACGATTCCAGGGTGTGCACTCATTATAAAGTCTATTTCGTTCTTATTTTCGCCATTAGGGCTCCTCCATGTCCACTTGCGGTTTTCTCGTTTTCGGTAGAAGATATTCAAAATCCGTAAATTATTGCGTTCTGCGAATTCTACTAGTAGCTCTCCTCTGGCGTTTCTAGTACCGATGCCATAATCTCCTACTGCCTGGTCTCCAGCCTGCTTCTTCCCTACCTTTGCATTAAAGTCGCCCATCACTACAGTATACTGCGTTTTTACCTTACTCATTGCCGATTCCACGTCTTCATAGAAGCTTTCAACTGAAGCGTCATCATGGCTGGATGTAGGCGCGTAAGCCTGTACTACCTTCATACTGTATCTTTTATTCAGTTTAATTACGATAACTACCACCCTTTCATTAATGCTATAGTATTCCTCTATGTTGCCAGCTATGTTTCTGTGAATTAGGAACCCCACTCCCAGTTCTCTTCTGTCTGCCAAGCCCCTGTAGCAAAGGACGTGCCCATTCTGTAGCACCGTATAGGCCTCATCTGTCCTCCTAACCTCACTGAGCCCTATTATATCCCATTTAACACCCTCTAGCTCCTCGAATAGTACAGCTAGACTTCCCTCACTAGATAAGGTTCTAGCGTTAAACGTTGCCAAGTTCAGGTTCCAATGGCGGCCTGTCCGGATCGGAAAAGTAAATAAGGTTACATAACTGAACCTCATAAACGAAAAAAAAATGGTAGTGGCTCCTATGGTATAGGGGAACCACACCATCTTGGCTGACATCTACAGAAACAAGTGAAGTTTCTCAAAGTTTACCTTCTCTGGTTTCAAAAGAAAACTGATGGAAGGCACGCCTGCATAAAGGCTGAAAGGTACACTGTCGGACATGGCGTCCATAACCTCGGGACTGTAAGAAAAAAAAATGAAATTTGTGTCAGCAGATTGTGGAACTAAAACTCAAGGCCTTGTCACTCAAACAGTTCAATGGTCTCAAACAGTTCAATTCACATACCATTCCTTCATAAGTGGGTTTCCCATTGGTCAAGCGTTTCGTGATCTGGCTGAAATGTTTGCGTTCGAAAATGTTTAGCGTAAGACGCTTTCTTGAATATGGAACCAGTAATGCGCAAATTTCTACAACGCTGAATTTTACTTCACCTCCACTGAGGTGCCGCAGTGTATTTTGAAAGGCTTGGAGTAGTATTAAAGGTCAGAACGACGAGCTGTTCCTGTCAGTGATATTGGCAGCCATGCACCAAGAGACGAGAAATCTGCATTGCAAAGACCTCGCTGAAAAGGTGTGAGCTGGACTCGTACATTGTGTCCCTCAATCTGAAATGCAACATTTATGTTCCACCCCTTCATTCACAGTTGACTTGCTGTAGACCATCTATGGTCAGCTAAAAAGATGATCCTTTCTCCGCTGCTCACGCGGGAACTCTGAAGAGACCCTTAATTGCTATATCTCGTAAGATACTTAGTGCATTAGCATCGTGGAGTGCGCAAAATTAGGAAACATAGTGAGCGCATTCGCCTCATCGAGTAATAGACAGTTATAGTTTACTGTTAGCGTGATATCAGGGGTTAAGAGAATAGCCTTACAGTGCTGCAAACGTTCGTTGTGGACAGCACCTTATAGATTAGTAGGATAGCGTTTACGTGGTTCACATGCCCCAGCTGGGATGGGTGTCACCACCTATCAAAGGGTGACTGAGCTAAACAGTGAAAATAAAAAGAAAACAGAAATGTTTGTCTGTGTCACCACGGGAAACAATGTTTGAAGTGTTTGCAGTAATAATAAAGGTAAGTAAATATAAGCCACACACTAAACGGTAAAACATTTCTGTTGCTGATTTGTTTACATCGAGGCCTAGAGACATTGAAATGGGAAGCTATCTCAAAAACTACGCTAACTTATTCGTAATACTCGGTCATCGAATATAACTCAAGGCAAGTGAACCCATTTTAAACAGGTGTTCGCTGCGAACGAAATGATTCTTTCAATAACTACGCCAAAACTACTTCAAAGCAGGCGCCTGATACCGCTGCCATGTTTTACATGCACTACGTAAACCACGCTAACGCGGTAGCGTTAAATCTGAAGAATAGTTTATGTAAGGTACTCAGTATGGGTCATGTACGTTACTATGCATACGCACTTCGATCCCGCTATCCCGCCAAGCCCAGTAAACTATAACTGTTCAATAACATGTGAAGGCTTTGCGTCTCGAAACCACGTATGATTATGCCACAGTGGAGGGCTTCGGGAATTCCAACCAACTGATCGAGATTGTTTAACGTGCGCCTAAAAGCTAAGTACACGGGCCAGAAAAACTTTCGGCTCCATCAAAAATGAGGCCGCCGCAGCCGGCAGTCGAGCACCTTAACAACTACATCACTGGGGTGGGTAAGCTTTTTATGGTTTCGCATTCCAGAAGTCATACTGCAAGTAAATCATAATGCGCGGCTTCGATTCCCAGCCGAGGTGGCGGCATTAAACGACATGTGAGGAAACACAAGATTTTAGGTTTAGGGGCTGGCTGGCCTTAGTGCTTGCTACAAAGTTCCACATATCATCATCATCGTTGGATTTAGGGGCAAGTTAAAGAACCCGAGGTGGTCGAAATGACTCCGGAGTTACCAGCTAAACTGTGGGCGTCATGCAGCATGGTTGTGGCACATGAAACCCCAGCGATTCTAAATGGCTGCTTACTTAATTTCACAATCCTCCCTGCAGTAGCTCTCAATACAGGACTCCGTTCTTACGTAACGTCGCATGAGATCATACTAACCGCACAAGTAAATTAGTTTTGTTTGCAACCTTGGCCTGTTCTCGCCAGACGTCGTAGAGAGTCCTGTTGGCGTTCGCAGGGTCTCGCACCTGGAAATCATGCACCGATACTCCTTGAAAATATGACAACAAGGCATCGAGCACAATGTACTGGACCTGCTAAACCCTTATGCGAGCATTTGCTCACCCGTGAGGCCGCTTCGACCGCAAGATTCTCCACTGACGGGCACGCCTTTGGCACAAGACGACCACCTGCAAAAAGCCGGCTGTCCGATTCAATCTCATTCCTTTCTTCCAAGTCTGCCTTTTTGCAAAAGCCATGAAATAAAAACCGATGTAAAAGCAATCATGCCTATCAAGTGGGTTTTTATTCTTTCTATACTAACCTAATAGATGTACTAAAAACGTCCTTAAGGACAGCTACCGATATAGTGGTTTAAAAAAAAAACGTCTCGTATTCTTCGAAGTATCTTGACCAGACCACAAATGAGTGAAAGCTAATGAATTTGGAAGCAAGATGAATGTAGCCAAGATTTCTGGATAGGAATATCTTGGCACGTCCTGATTCCCCCTTTCAGCGCCGTCGACACTTCTCACCTCCGGCAGGTGGAGCGATATCTTGACTAAGTAGTGCACACGTACTCACGACGGCGTTGGACAAGCAGGGTTTCATTTGTGGTGCGTAGGCGATGCCTAAAAGTAGCAAGGTAGATCTCGACGGCTTTAACCCTAATACAGCCACATACCATAACCATTGTTCACATCTCTTGACCAATGACCTTGCGCTCTTCAGTCATCAAATGGCCCTTGCACCATAAAACGCCACACATTACTATCGACGCCTTTCGATTGCCTTGAAATCTTATTGGGCTATTGGTACAGAGATCAAAGTCTTTTACGAATATCCTACATGCCTATGTAAAGTCAACAGAAAAACCCCGAAGAAAAACCAACGTGTCGGTATCTGCGGTGTCTGTTACGAAGATGACTGCGAACTATGCCACTTGCGCATCATTGGTCTGACGTACCGAATGCGCTCAATTGGCAACCTTTTGATCGTAATTTGTTGCGCTTTTAAAACGAACTGATTTTTCGCAGCGTAGAGATAACCCCTCCCTCGCTGCAAAAAATAAAATAACAGCATGCTTTGAAAAGAATGCGAGTGCGTCATCGGGCTTGCGAGCATCGGCGGTCGTCATTGAGTAGCTACGCCACGGTGAGTTATTGTAGTTGACTCAGCCATTCATGCTAATCATTAGATACACTTCAAGCTATGTTCTATTTTTGCATCTTCCAGAGGTGAGTGACCCAAGCTTCGGCATCACTGCTCACAATATCAGAGGACACTGTTGCTGAACCGCATTGCTCCCAGAAATTTGCCGGAATGCTTCCAGTGATTGACCAAATGAATGTTTCCGAAATTTATGTTGCAAACTTCTTAGTAAGTTACATAATTTATACAAAATTAAACCAGTGTCAGGTGCAATACATCATCTCAACAGTCGTTTCACCACATACAAACCACTGTTAAGTACAATGAACTGCACTTCATAGTGGCTTAACTGCAAATATTTCTCGGTACATCTTCGACAATTTCAATTTTTTATGAGCGCCTCGTAGTTAACCTAGCGCGTGACAGTCAGAGAAAGAATACTTAGTGATAGTTACAATGTAGCATAGCATTCATTACAAATACTTACCGGATGTGCACTCGCTGATGTCTACATAGGCGACGGCACGTGGATGCAGCTCGAAGAGGTGTTGCTATGGGAGCAAAAGAACAAAGAACAATGTGTAAACAGTGCAAATAGAATGAGACAGAAAAACGGTGAGTTTTTGCAAGTTGTCTTGCAATCTGACCGAGTAATGGAATCTAAACTAATTGTCAAGTTTTTAAACAAATGACTGTGAGACATCCCCTTATGAAAACGTAGCTCTTACATCATTTGCATACTGTTTTCACAGATTGTGCGGAAACGAATGATTTATCTACCGTATCATGCCTAGTAACCATAGTAACCATCTCTCCCCTTCCTTACGGTGAAGGATAATTCAACCTTATTTGAGAGGGGGGCACTTGCGTGGTCCCTGACCGGGCGTTGGGGCTTAATTGGTGCTTATGTGGCCCTTCAAATTTCCCGATAAAGAGAGGGTAGGGGGCGCTTTCTCGGCATTTTACAGTAGGTAAATAAGATGCTCTTCATGATGTGCGGTGGCCTGTGCAGACTTACCTCAACCCATTCGGTAGAGCCCACTTGACCGTACTCACCGGCAGCCCAGCTGCACAAGAGCACACTACGCCGAGGCCTCACACCCCGTTTCTTGAGGCTGCCCAGAGCTTGGCCTATGGCCAGCAGCGACGCCGTGTTGGGGGCCGAGTGCAGCGCACCAAAGCCAAAAGAGTCCCGCTGGGCGCCCACCACCACGTACCGATCTGTCCGACAAAAATGTAATTAGAAAAATATAGGTTTAAGATACGTGGATATTGCTCATGCTTTAGAGCCTGCACAACAAACTGCACTTTGCGCGGCTAGTTAAGTCGCATAATATGGTTCATTTCTGGCACCGCTCTTAGCAGAATAGGGCTGTGTGGCACCAAATGAAAAAAGGGCACATACGCTCGCCATGCAGCCTGCACGCTTTTCAGCTCAGCCTAATCGTCAAGAAGCTTACCAACCAAACATGCGGTACATTTAAGGCGCTGTCATTGCTTCAATCTGAAGGGGCTGTGAAAACAAATTTGAGACCATAATCTCTCTTGGTTGCTTAGTCCTTGCCCATTCACAAATAGGCTGACAGAGTTTTAGCGCATTTGGTCGAGTGCCTGATTTATAACTGAGTTTTTAGGGGCGAAGCTCCTTATGTTGTGGATCATGCGTCTGCATTGTATGTAGTAGTAGTAGTAGCAGTAGTAGTAGTAGTAGTAGTAGTAGTAGTAGTAGTAGTAGTAGTAGTAGTAGGTAGCCACCTCTTCTTTGGTGTTTAGAATGCCTGCTGGGTAGCGGTACTTGTATATGATGAGAAGAAGCGAGATGACGGTACTTGGAGTGTTCACAAAATGGACGGACGAACAGACGTACAGACAGACAGGTGGAAAGATGGAAGGACGGGCAGACAGACGGATACACACACACACAGACACCCAGACGCACGGACTAGCAGACGGACGAACCGACTGAAGGACGCCCAGATGGACAAACAGACAGATGGGTGGACAGCCGCAAGGATGCACGCGCGGACAGACGCACCAACGGATGGACGCACGTGCGGACGAACTGACGGAAGCTTCGCCCCTCGCACCATCATTCACTCCGTGTATATGCTGTGATGCTTTCGTAAACACTTAAGCTGCCGTGACACTGTCGAGTAAAACTGAATGATTTGATTGATGTGTGTGTCCCAAAGGCACCATATGACTATGAGAAACGCGGTTGAAAAAGTTTTTAGAAATTTCGACCACCTGGGGTTCTTTAACATGCACCCAAATCTGGGCACACGAGCCTACAGCATTTTCGCCTTAATCAAAAATGCACCTGCCGCAGCCGGAATTTGATCCCGCAACCTGCGGGTCAGCAGCCGAGTACTTTAGCCACTAGACCACCGCGGCAAAGCGTCGAGCAACACTGCCGTGCTCGTGAGCCGTGATGAAACAAGTTTCTTGATGAGTGAGCGTCTGCATTACGGCAAATGACCCTGGAACAAGACCAATCACGCGTGATATCAAGACATTTTAGCTTTTCAGCAGGGCACTGAAATTGAACAAGTTGCAGTGGTGCATACGTCGGCAGAAAATATAGTGTAGTACACTGTAGTAGAAGATGACGCCTGTAAAAAGGGTTGACGTCAAATGTGCGCCATGGCAAAATGAAGGTCGCCAGCAGTGAGCGCACACCCGATAACTCCAAGGGCTTGTTTTGCACTGAAATATTCTTTTACGACTCACTCTTCACGTCTATATAGGCATTATAGACCGTCTTCTTCTAGTTTTGGCTGACAACAGATCTCTTGTGACCGCGTCAAAGCCCCTTTAAGGCAAAATAGTTGCACTCCTTTATGCTGATACATTAAGCTATTCTGGCCAAACTAATTATAATCACCAATTATTTGTCAGTAACGCTTTAATTGCAAAGACCTTGGTGACGTCATTAAATTCTGAGCACAACCTTCTGCTGGCGGATAGGGCTCGCATCTGCTTTCGAAGTCTAACAGGGAGTTGGGCGAGCTGGTTGATAATATCTCACATTTGAAGAAAGCATGAAAAGAGAACAACACAGAGATACGAAGGAAACAAAACGATTTTTTTCTCTCTTTGGCATAAAAAAGAACAGTCGATAAGGCCTTCTTAGCAGTTCTACATCTCTCACCTTGCGACACTCATGCATGCTCGATGAACTGATCCTTCTTACCTGGTTCTGCTGAACCACGCAGCGTAGCGATGACATTGTTTATCTGCGCGAGCGTGAACACATTGTTCACCCGCAGTCGGACCAGCCTACACACAACAGGAAAACGGCGCCACAGTCACAGTGGGCAAAATCGAAGCTTCGAAATGTGCCGCACCTGTCTGAAGCTGCTTCTCCCAGCCTGTAAGTAACATTGCCCGTCAGGCCAAAATGTTCTGGAGCGTCTGGACCTTCGAGCAACCTAGACGACAGAGAGTAGAGGCAGGACAAGTACCCACCGTAGTAGAAAAGCACTCAGAAATAAACGAGTACTCGTTTTTTTTTTCTGTCTCTGCGACAGCTATTTTCACGCTGCTTTTTTACGACCATGGACAGCCAAACAGGCAGAATTTCTTACCTTACATAAGGACAGCTGAGCGTTCTTTCAGAATCCCTCTTAATGCAGTCGTCAGAATGAGGCTGTCGCCTCATTCCGACTTACAGCTGGCCAACCCAACCCACTCAATATTACTTCATGTCCAATCTACAAGTTATGGTCGGTATGTTTGAGCCACTTGACCCAATTTCCAATACCTTAAGGCCACCTATCGGTGAAGGCTGCGATAAGACTATTACAATCAATTTGGCGAAAAATTGATTCTATGTAGGAAATATTTCCCGTATGTCAGCCTACAATTCTTCAAGAGCAAAGTTATACACGTTTTATTTTTTTCTGTTTTTTTTTCAACGCTGTAGTTTGGGCCCTACAGGAAAGAACTGCTCTGTTGCCATCTTCACCCGTTTAGTGTGTTTTTATCCACTGAATAAGGTGCTCTCGAAAAGTGGAAACTGAAATGCTTTTGGATACGAGGTTTTTATTGTTCTCTCGGTACTGAAGTAGTGCCTAATTATTGACTCTTTATTCGTCCAAATTACTGTGGAAACATTCTTCGAGACTCTCATTGCTTTGAGCAAATATGATACTTGTGACGACGAGATTGAGCATTGATGTATCCAAATGCTCTCCCCTACTAACATCTCACTACACGGTAAATCTAATCTCAGCGAATGTCCTTCATTTATAATGTCATTTGGTTGCTGTCACACGGGGAAACTAATGCCATTTGATGAAAACGACATTTCTCGTCGAATTAGTGGTCTCGACGCCAGGAACGCTTAGGGAGATGGCTGTTAAACTCATGTCTACGTAACTTTCATAATCTGTATATACTTTATTCCTTAGTAGATCAATGTATTATTTGCGGCTTGTTGGTCTTAACATAAGCACGGTCGTACTGAACTCTAGAAATAGTGCTGTAGTGCTTTACTGGTTTGGTGACATAATAGCATGCGCGAAAGCTTCTAAAAAAAGCTACTCAGACAACGACTAGAAGCCCGCCATGTTTTATTTGCACTCTGTTATTGTTGTTGCCTGTATCGTGGATGTTGATCGTCCAATTGCACGTGTTGTGGTGACCAAGGTGGTGCCTACACAAAATCGCTTCCGCCATCTTGTTTCTGCATTCAGGAAGTCAGGCGCCTGCGTCGCTTCAATTCATTTTCGCCTAATCATATTGTCGACCATGTTGGTTTTCGAGTGTGTCATGTGGCTGTGGCAAGTTGTGCACAACGGCTGCGGTTATAATGTAGGAACACGTTTTTAGCTCATAACAATTATTTTGTAAATACATGTGCGTTACTTGCAAGTTTTGTTAACATTTTTATTTTCCTCCCAAAGCCACGGCTCAGGAGGGCTAAAGTCATGGTCATCATTTCAAAATGATATTTGTTTTCCTCGGGTGACAGCACGCAGGTACAATGACATTATGTCTACCTATTGCCATTCGTTATAAGTGACATTAGATTTGTCATGTGACAGGAGTATAAGTTACAAAAAACTGGTATGCACAAATGCCCTAATATTTTCTTATGAAAAATAACTGAATGATAATGGCACACGAGCTTGTTTTGCTTCAAAAATGTTCATGTTGGTGTTCGGATGTTTCTTGTACAGGCTGTTTTATTATGTCGTATTTTAGTGGCCGATAAAACACTAGGCTTTTGTTAACGGGGATTAACTGAGTAGAATAAGCGTTTAGTAGGTACATGTTGGTAGGAATGAAGAGGGGAAAGTTCGGAGGCGGAGGAGCGTCCTGCGAGCTGGAGGGTCGGACGCAACTTGATACTTCACTAATTTGATTGATCTATTGGGCTTAATATTAGTCAGGCGGATAGTCGCTTTTATTCTCACCCCCTCCACAACTGTGTATTGGTGGAAAATAAACCATTAAAATTATTATAAAACCACCATATGATTATGAGAGGCACCGTAGTGAAGGGTTCGGCAAATTTAGACTACGTGGGGTTCTTAAACGTGCACCTAAATCTGAGCACAGGGGTCTACAGCATTTTTGCCTCCATCGAAAATACAGCCACGGTAGCCGGGATTCAATCCCGCAACCTGCGGGTCAGCAGCCGAGTACCTTAACCACTGGACCACCGCGGCAGGGCGCAACTTGGTACTTCAGCTTGGAAATCATAGAGGAGGACGAGGAGGGGAACGTATATAAACATAAAAGCAAGTGCAGAATTCCGAAGGAACATGCGAAGGCGCGTGCGGCTTGCATAATGCAATCCGGAGATAGATGAGCCATCTCGGGATTCTTTTTGTAACGCACACTTTGCGAGCTCTTCTAAAAGTGAACCTGATGCAGTGATATCATGAAAGCATGCAGTGCATGACCGCTTATGCTAGCTTGGATATATTGCTTCACTGTGCTAATGCGCATCTACCTCCGCGCACTTCACATGGGCCGCTAACCGGCCTAAAATATGATATTGGTTATTTGACTCAAAGGCATGGTAGTTCAAAAGTTATGAGACCATAATATACTTCAGCACCATGCAGCACTACGAACATCACGTGGATGTGCAATACGTTGACTCAAATGTGTTTAAATCCACGAATTTATGCTCGTTGACACTCTTTCTGTTCCTGAAACACGTTTCGTTTGACGCTTCTTATATCGCTCACGAGCAATCATCCGTCTTCTAAAATAATATGACCAATTTCGTGCTACTCGACAATTACGACATTTGTTTTTTTTCTTTCCTGCAAGAGACTGGAAAGCGACGGGGCAAGTTTTGTACGTGCATCTTTGTCATTTGATTGCATTTGTTTTACTGCTAAGCTTGAGCACGTGGAGTAGAAATGGCGCAACATTACGAGTACGTACCTCAGAAGCACTTGGGCATCTCGGTAGCTGATCGGTTGACTGGGTATCGGTGGTAGCCCGGCGAATGCAGGATCCATTCTCTCTGCGGACGCTGAGGCACGGGAGATAGGCATTTTCTTTTGTGTTCTTTTTAAATGTCTATCATTTCTTCGTTGACAACAAGAACGTTTGGCGTCTGTCTGTCTGTCTGCCTGTCTGTGCCTATACGCTTACGTCTAGGTGCTCTCGTACTCACCCCCACTTGTCGTGAACCAAAATTGTATGGGAAGGTAAGATGGTTCGACGAATATGGCGCGCTCGTCAACACATAAATAATGTCACAAGCATGTCATGTACGTCGTTGAACACTTCTCACGAGACAGCGGCACATACCCTTGGGCGTGTAGGTGCTACTAGTATGCGGGTATGTGCCACAGCTGATTGACACTTGGCATCTACCCAGGAACGGCGACAACACACATGGGTAATTTTAACACGTGAGATTTAAGAAAAAGCGGACATCGGCAGAGTTGACTCTACGAATGCAAAGAAGAAATTACAGGGCCCTAGCAGGAATCGAACTTCAGCATTATGGGTGGCTACCAAGTATTCTAACACAGAGCCTCGCGAGGTCTCGGAACTACTTTTTGGCATGGGATCTACTTTTTGGTATAATGGGCATGGGTTGGCAGCAGCGACAATGGTCGCTAAAAACCACTTCTGTCTTTTCACCCAGTTGGCCTTCGTCATCAGAACGTGCATCCCTGTCTGCGTGGATTGTGCCGCGCACGTACCCAAGTCTGGCACGTGCCCTCTTCCAGAGGCTTGCAGCGATATCGGCGCAGATTTCCTGGGACCCCCTCACCCACTGTGTGATGGGGCACCGGAGCGTTTGAGGAAGGCCGCAACGACATCGACAGCGACAACGGTGGACTACATAAGCTCATCCTCGAAGCATCACCCGTTCAGTGGGCATGTGATGGCAGCAGCGACAATGGTCGCTAAAAACCACTTCTGTCTTTTCACCCGGGTTGTTTGTTATTCTATTCACTGTAGAAGATGTAATGACGTATGTTTGGTGCTATTCCCATGCCCACACGTTTTAATGGTTACTGCTGCGGTGCATGTGTTCATGTTGTGAAATTGCTTTTGTTAGGAGGTGACGTTGAACTGAATCCTGGTCCCCCAAAGCCAGACCCCAAAGTACATGATAATGCGGGCCTATTAGCTATAGGTCACTTAACGGAGCACCTCGATGAGGGGCACGACAATCTTGTAGCATCCATTGAAGTAGTCAAAAATAACCAAAAAGTTCTTGATAACAAAGTGTCCGACCTTACAACACGTTTAGCAAACCTTGAAGAAAAGGTGAACGCTTTTGAAAACGTATCAGAGGGATCGCGTTTAGATTGTTCAGTTTGGATTGCGTCAACGGTTCGTTGTGAGAATGCTGCACTTCGCGCACGACTTGACGACTACGAAGACCGATCGCGACGAGACAACTTAATCTTCCACAGAATTACTGATGCTGCTGCCGAAACATGGTAAGGCACAGAAGAAAAGGTTAGGGCATTTCTTTCAAGTTCTTTCGAGATGCAGCTTTCAGATGACACGATATCTCGAGCCCACAGACTAGGAGCATTTGTACCAAACAAGTGCCGCCCTGTTGTCGTACGGTTTGCGTCATTCAAAGTTAGAGATAACATCTTTTCCCAAAAAGCAAAGTTGCGTGGTCCGAACATTAACTATAACGAAGATTTTTGTAAAGCCACACGGACAGCCAAGAAAAAACTAACCGATTTCGGTAAAGCCAGCGGTCAAAAGTATTCAGTAAAATACAACAAAAATGTTATTAACAAGAAAAGTTACGTGTACTGCCCAGTCACTGATCGTGTCTTGTCTGTTGTTCCAGTTGACAATAACAACGAAAACGACACTAACCTAAGTCCTCTTAGCTCGTCGGTCCAAGCGTCTTCGTAGCAAAAAACAAATCCACGACGTGGTACTGTTAAACACAATTGTTCCTTTCTGCTTAGTAATGTAAGAAGTGTAATGGGCAAGCAAGACGCCCTGTCATCTCTGATTGACACCTGTCTTGCAGAAGTCGTCGTATTGACATAGACATGGCTTTCAGCGGAAGTAGACAGTCCCGAAATTCTAAATTGCGAAAAAAAATACAAGTTTTATCGATGCGATCGTGGATCGCGTTCCGGAGGCGGTGTCCTCATAGCTGTTGCAGACGATCTAGTTTCATCGCACGTAGCTCTCGTTTGCCCTCTAGAATTAGTGCGCGTTAGTGTTCGCTTACACAATAAAGATGCTCTCGTTTGTGCGTGCTATCGACCTCCTAATGTACCTGCTGATTTCTTCAGATTTGTACGATGCCCTTGACATGCTTCATGTTTGGTTTCTCGCCTCGCATATTATTCTTTTAGGCGATTTTAATTTCCCCGACATCCATTGGAATTTGCCTTCTACCTCACCTGGCTTCTGTAATTCCGAATCCACCTCTTTTATTAATACATGCTTAGAGTTTAAGCTTAGCCAGCTGGTTAACTCCCCAACCCGTATCACGTCTACTAGTTCTACCATATTAGACTTGGTGTTCACAAATAACCCTGATCTCCTCCAGTTTCTGTCAGTCGTGCCAGGTCTCAGCGATCACTCTGCCATTCACTTTCTCGTACCGAACACGCCGTCAAAAATTAGTAAAACTACAAAAATAAGCAGAGATTATGGGAGAGCTGACTAGACGTTAATAATTGCTGAAGTGGAGACATTTTCACACGAATTTTTTTCTAGCTTTTCTGAACACTTAGTAAACGAAAACTGGCTACGTTTTAGAGCTAGAATCGAAGAGCTTACCGACCGCTTCATATCGCGGCCGTAAAATAACCGATAACAATCAGTCTGCTTGGTTCGCGCCTACTTTAAGGCGGCTACTTAATAAAAAAAGCGCATCTTCGAAGTGCAAAGCTCTCGGGCAACATGAAAAGATGGGATGATTATCGTAGTGTAGCCGACGAGTACGCACGCGCACTCTCACTTGCCAAGCAGTCATATTTTGTACAAACGTTGCCTTCTTTGTTAGTAACTAATCCTCGTAGATTTTGGCAGGTAATCGGTGGCAATAACAAAAAAACAAATCTACCTAGTTTCAGGTTAGCGAATCATTTATTCCAAGAGAAAATTGTTGCATAGCTCTTAACAGTGTATTCACATCATCATTTGTAAACGTGGCGCCCACCCCTGTTCCTAACTTTTTTACTCACAACTACGATCTAATGGAGTCAGTACACCTTGATTGGGAGGGCATAATGAAATTAATTGAAAATCTCAAGCCTTCTTTTTCCCCCGGAGATGACGGAATTAACGCCAATTTTCTTAAAAACACCGCATTGTTTTCGTCTTTAATACTGTACAGAATTTTTTCACTGTCTTCGGAATCGAGTAACCTGCCAAACGGCTGGAAAGTGGGGAAGGTGGTTCCTTTTCACAAGTCAGGTAACACCTACGATATCCACAATTATAGACCCATCTCACTTACTAGTGTGCCATGTAAGCTATTAGAGCATCTCATTTACTGCAACTTAGTCAACTTTCTTGAGAATAATGCTTTTTTACTAACTTTCAACATGGTTTTAGAAAAACTTACTCGTGTGAAACTCAGCTCTTATGCTTTACTAATGATTTGTTCTCTGCAATTGATCGTGATACTTTTATCGATTGTGTATTTATCGAATTTTCTAAAGCTTTTGACACAGTTTGTCACGAATTACTTAAACTAAAGTACACTAAATCTTGACCCACACATTTTAAAATGGATCGAGTGCTTCTTACACGACCGCAAGCAATTTGTGACTGCTAATGAATGTAGCTCTCCTCTTACTGCCGTAACCTCAGGTGTGCCTCAAGGCTCAGTTTTGGGTCCCTTACTTTTTTTATTATATATTAATGATTCGCCTCATAACATTTCCTCCTCCATTAGGTTATTTGCTGACGATTGTGTTGTTTACCGTGAAACTTTGACCTCTAACGTCACTGACACCCTGCAATCTGACCTGGACAATATTTCTTCGTGGTGTAATAAATGGCTAATGAAACTTGACACAAATAAATGTATATCAATGAGAATAGATCGTAACCCTTCAAAAGTTGCGTCCCCCTCGTGCCTACTTAATAACACTCCCCTAAGCAACGTTTCTTCTTACAGGTGCCTCGGTGTTAACATTTCTAACAACCTGTCATGGCAGGCTCACGTTGACTACATAACATGCAACGCTAATCGAACTCTTGGCTATTTACGTCGAAATTTTTCTTTTGCTCCAATTAACCTACAGCTTCTCCTGTATAAATCATTAGTGCGGCCAAAACGCGAATATGCGTCGTCTATCTGGGATACTCATATTCACATGCTCATAGACAACATTGAATTTATTCATAATCGCTCAGCACATTTCATATTGTACAATTACTCTCGAACTGCAAGTGTCACATTAATAAAGGCTCAACTCAATTTGTATAACCTCTCAATACAACGCAAAAATTCACGTCTCTGTCTCTTTCATAAGATCTATCACACTAACAGAACCTTCTCTGATTCACTGTTTTTTCCACCAGCCTACATACCAGCACGCAATGACCATCAATACAAGGTTGTGGTTCCCTTCTGCCATACGAACCAGCACTTCAACTCTTTCATCCCTAGAACTTGTACTGACTGGAACCACCTTCCCGCATCGATCGGTTCAATCACAGATGCCAATGCGTTCAAATCAATCATTTCTGAAAGTGAATTATAATTTATTCTAATCCTGTTGTATTGTTTTACTTCTTATTGATATTTGTTGTCCCACTTCTCTCTGTAATGCCCTATGCCTTGAGAGTAAATAAATGAAATTAAATGAAATAGACCCGTATGTTCGTGAGACGTCAGTAGTGGTTGCAGTGCTGGCTATCCAATTTTATAAACATTACCTCAATTGTAGTTAGGTGCCATCCGCTGCAGTTGATTAATGTAGCAGTGTCCAGGGCTACCATTATCGTGAGCACCAGCGCTTTATTTCAGCTTATCGCTTCTGGTGTTGCTAATACTCATGTTCCTGTTGGCATCGTTGCACAAGTGCAAGCAACTGGCTGTATATACATCTGTGACTGTTTAACATATGCTTGTGCATGTGGCATTGATATATATATATATATATATATATATATATATATATATATATATATATATATATATATATATATATATAGCGTCATTTTATATGGTGTCGCTGAATAAAAATATTCCAACGTGGCTACCTTCGTTCCGCATTCTTCGCATAACGTCGATTCCCAAGATACGTGGGATCTGCGAAATTTTTTTCCCTGTCCATACTGAAACACAAGCCTTTACAATAATCAGTTTCATCGAAAGCTTCATGAGCTGTTTCACAGTGAACCTGGTCTCAGCAAAATTGTGTAGCAGATCGGCGCATGCAGGTAACATAATTTTGAATAAAGACAGAAGACTCCTTTGGAATTTAACGTATGCTCTTTAAAAGCACTTCCAGCTCAATTTGCGTGGACCAGAAGTTCACCATGCAATTTACTTCTTTGTTCATTCCCACATTTGTTGAGTAAAGTGTTTGTTTGTTCATTTATTTCCCACTTTTTCTGACCCCATTTTTACTTGAACAGCGGTAAATAGTGGAGCTGGCAAACCTCTGCGGCACATATCTGCTAGATGTTTCCTGTTGAGAAGGTTAGTGTTAGCAGAAATACACTTTGCAGATGTGCCTATAGCCCCTATATTTGCTCTGACTACCACAACGGAAGGCAAGGCTAGGCTCTAAGGAGCTTTGCCCGTAAAATAAATGTGGGAGGATGTCTCGGTTCCTTACGTATTGCAGGAACGCCCGGGGTGAGTGGGTCGCCAACTTGCATCATGGTGTCCCTCCGAATCACGGTGCCCGGCATCTCTAAACCAGATGGAAACAGCCCAAGGGTTGATGTGGACTCTGTCCCATCGGACTGTTCAGAAGAATCGGGGAACACGAGGAGGCCCACAGCTCCTTTGCGAGCGCAGGTGTACGCTTTAGAGGCCAGCGTGGTCCCTCCGTATCTGAAAAAAAAGACCTCTAACTAACTTCAAATCAGAGGTGCACCAACGTCTACCATTACGATAAAATGGTCTCCCTATGTGTTACAGAAAAAACCCGAAAATAAATGTGTCTTGCAATCTGAGATGAAGCACCTTCGTAGTGAGGTGTACAGAGACAGAAAAAGATGCTGGCTTTCTTGTAATCGGGAGCAGATGTAAGCGTCTGCTAGCAGAGCAGGCTGATTGGAGATTGAACCAGCCGCAATCTTGTTCATGTTTACCTGGACACACATCACTAGAGCCCACCACGCTATACTCTGCACTCGCCCATATAAGCGCCAGTGTTTGCGGTCAATGTGCGAGATGAATGTTTGGTTTTGACATGCGTATGCGACTGATACGACGTACCGCTATGCAACAGTAAGCTGGTGTGCTTCACGAATCGTGGCATGCTTCTGTTTTTCTCGTTTATCTGCATTGTTTGTTGTACACTGTTCTTCTTCATTAGCGTTCCTTATCATGTCCTGGCACTTCTTCGCCATCAAATGGCTTTTGGGCCATAAAACGCCATAAATCATCATCAGCACCTTTTGCATTTCTTTTTTTCTTCTCCATTATTTACTGCGATTAGTGAGTAAGGTATGACTCCCCCGATTCATCAAACTGACAGCCCTGCGCATGAGAACAATAATGCCCGACGACGCCAGGATTCAAATTACTTGTTCGTTCGCCCTCATAATAGTCTGCGTAAGTCTCAGTTGTAGTTTATAGAAGTGGCGCTATTTATATTCTATTTCTCCCAAGTGTTGTAAAGAATTGTCACTTATCGAACGTCCATGACAGCTGTGAAATACTGAAGGGCCGTTGTGAAGCGGACGCGTGAAATACAAGGAGTTGTAATTTATCATCACACCAGTTTCAAGGTACGAGCCTTGTACTTGCAGGCGCGTGTGTCATGACAGCTGTGGTAGCGTTACGAAGGTGATGGGCAGCAATGCTGATACAGGGGTTGACAACCCCACGAAAACCAAATACCCTTTTTTTTTGCGAAAATGCACGTGTAGTGCCTTACCTAGCGAGGCATATGCATCCAGTGACGCTGACGTTGAGTGCTTCAACATCGTCCAGGTCTTCGTGGGTCGCTCGATTAACGTACACGAGGCAGCCCTGTGTAGGTTCATTTAGTAAGTGGCGTACAGCCACGCGTTGCTCACGCAAACGATGCCTGACCGCCTATCACATTCTTGTGTTCTAACTAAGTGTGAGACTTAATGACAACTGCATACTGTTCTCCTAATTGTGGCTTTCTGGCATAAGCAGTGCATAAACAGCATGGACGTGTATATTGCCACATATGTGCGTTTGCATATAAAATTAACTTAACGAGGCTCGCATATCTCTCCCCTCCCCCAAAAAAAGAAAAACGAAGCGGCACTCTCCAGCAAAATAATTATTAACCTCTGTTCAATTAATTACGTGCCAAAATCGTACACACAAAGGCATCAACGTACCACAAACACGCACACTCCGCGTTCTTTCTTCCAGCACTTCATGAATGCCTACCAGAACATCTCCTGGCGGGGAGTATGCAAGAAAAGCAGGGCCGATGTCAGTGTCGACGCCGTCAACTGTCTTTTCTTGGAAAGCCGCCTCGAGAACAACTTCGCCTGTTGTAGCGTTCAGGAGCTGCACCTGCGTAGCAAATATACAAGACTGCTGTTTTTTTTTTTTGACACAACAACCACGCAAAGGCTGTCGGTAATGCATGTTTGCATCGCTCCGATGTGAATAACATATCCCAGGGAGGTGTATTCTCCAACTACTTGACAGGTTTTAGAAAACAGAGATGCACAATGGATGCAATACTGGACCTAGTAACGTATGTGGAGCATGAACGCGCATGTGGTAGTTTGACGGTCGCAGTGTTCTTGGACATCAAAAGGGCATTTGACACAGTCAGTCACAATCATGTTTTGCTGAGTATGTTGGAACATGGACTGTCCGGCAGGTCTTTGCGGTGGGTATCCAAATTTTTATCAGGTCGTAAAATATTCATTCAGACGAGCGAAGGAAAAAGTGCAGAACACGACGTCAGACAGGGAGTGCCACAAGGAAGCGTACTCAGCCCTTTTCTTTTCAACTGTGTTATGGCTGATTTAGCTAAAAGACTGCCTTCCAGGTTGAAATACTCCTTATATGCAGATGATGTGTGCATTTGGGCATCTGGCACGGACATACGGTTAATTCAGATTGCATTGCAAGACGGAATAAATATTATCAACAACTTTTTAAAAGGAAGAGGAATGATTCTATCGCACGCAAAGACAGCTGTATTGCCCTTCACCCGTAAGAAGTTAAAGAACTTCAATCTCAATTTAGAAGAAGAACCACTAATGATTGTGACACAGCATCGATTTCTCGGAGTAATACTTGATAGGCAGCTATCATGGGCACCTCACATAAAGAAACTCGAAAACGAGGTGAATACGCTAGTGAATATACTCCGCAGAATTGCTGGGACATCATGGGGCGGATCTGTATCATCCATGCTCGCTGTTCACAATGCTTTAATACGACAAAAGTTGCATATTCTGCAGAAGTGTTACACGGCCTTTCCCGCACTTCAGAGGAGCGACTTCAAAGACTATTAGCTAGGGGACTGCGCGTCTGCATAGGTGTTCCACGAGCGACTTCCAGCAGCCTTGTCATAGCAGAGACTCGACAACCACCCTTTCCAGTCATGAGAACAATTGAAACATGCCGCCATTTTTTTCGCTTACAGACGCAACACAGGGACCACCCATTGGCGCTGGAGATTTTACTAAGAGATAAAAGCAATGCTCATAACGAAGTACAGAGTAATGTACATATATTACCCGGACATGAATTTTGGAACTCTGAAATGGACTATCCTCCATGGGTGCTTGCTATACCAAGCATTGAATTCTCAGTGGATGGCATGATTAGAAAGAGAGACATGTTCATCCAAGCTGCTCAACAACTAGCGCTTTATCAGATACACATGCGGTATCCAGGGTACATACATATTTACACAGATGGCTCAAGTTCTACAACGTCTTCAACATCGGCATTTATCATACCACAGCTCAATATTCAGGAATCGTTTAAATTATGCCGCACGACGTCATCTCCAACATCTGAGCTCTTCGCTATTCTGTATGCTCTAAAGTTTATAAACTCGGTAGCAGACGCTAGAAAATGGGTACTTTTCAGTGACTCACAGGCTGCATTAGGATCACTCTCCAGTACAAACAGGACAGTAATAAGTGATAGTATGACATACGAAACGCTGAAGGAGCTCACTAAAGCAAAGCAGGCGCAACATGAGATTAAATTCCAGTGGATACCTGGCCACTGCAACATTCCTGGAAACACAGCTGCCGATGAAGCAGCACGACAAGCACATCGTAAAGATGTTACTGTTTCTTTACCAATATCGAAAAATGAATTGCGTAGTATTATAAAGAATAAAACTTTCAGAATGAGCAAAACTGCTTGATTTGACCAAAGTACAAAGAGCTGCGATTTATACCACATCGATCCATTTATTGAATTCAAAATTACGCTGGCATTAGATAGAAGGATGGAAACTCTAATTCACCGATTGAGGCTAGGCACCGCATACACAAAACATTTTTTGCACAGAATCGGCAGAGCTGAAACTCCCAAATGCGATTGTGGATTTATAGATGAAGACGTATGTCACCTTCTCATAGACTGTCCACATCATGACACGCCAAGACGCCGTCTTAAAAGTGAACTGTTCGCATTGGACCACAGACCATTTAGCATGAAAAAACTTCTGGGTCCGTGGCCAACTGGAGTTTTACAGTCCCACGCTTTAAAAGCATTAACACGTTTTTTACAAGACAGCGGGATTGCTGACAAGTATTAACAAAGAACAAGCTTTCATTTGTAACACATGTACTTATTATATACAGTATCATGTGACACCCATCACGTGTGTGTTGTGAAATGAATTACGTGTCGACTATTATGTACATACGAGCGAATGCATCTTTATAAGGACCAGACGTGTGCTTTATTGTTTCGTTGTTGTGGTTTGTGTTTGTTGTTTGTGTTTTGTTGTTTCCAGAGACTTCTTACAATGACTTTCAAACATTTACTTACCATTGTGATATGTACGTATAAGTGTGTCTTTGCATATCTGTGCCTGAGTTTTCTATTTTCCATGCACTGCTTTGTATGTTTTGCTTCAAGATACGTGTTCAAGTTTCAATTAACGGCTAAGGAGTAGCCGGTGCCATAATGGTGCGCCAACATCTCCTTATATATCATATCAAAAAAAAATATCCCAGGGAACGCAAGACCGCTTGGAAACGCTGCAACCGCTGATCAGTAGGGACACGTGCGTCGAAACAGCAAAAAACTTGTCGCTTTCATTTCGTAATGATCCATCTACACGATAGGCCATATTCAAGAGACACTGCTGTACGACGCATGAATGAACGGCCGTTTCACGAAAACTTTAATGAAAACTTAAGTAAATGGAACATTTAATATGTACAAAATGATAGCTGAAACCGTTAAGCACGGAAGTCCGGAAATGTGCATACACTTCCACAGTAATTAGACTTCGGTGTTAAAAAAATTGAACCATCCCCTCGAAGGGAACCCTGATAGAATGCGAAGCAGCAGCGGTGCACACGTCATTGACCCTGGTTGAAACGAGCGTTGACGGGGGTGCTGGAAGAAGGATTTGAAGCGAAACTAGGTGTAGCATTTACTCGAGTAAACGTATGTTTTAACGCAAAAACACAGGAGGCTGGTTCGGTCTCCTGTAAGTTTCATCGCAGAAAAACTATTTGCTTGATTTGCGCTCGAACATTGCGAATAGTGGAGAGGGTGAAGCGAGGGAGATGACACGCGGCGCCATGCTAGAAAAAGAATGACGCCAACGCTCGCGCACTGCGAAGGAAGGCATGAGCCTACGTGGCACCGCCCCAACATCTGCGGCTAGGGGAGTGCGGTGCAGACTGAGGGACAGCGTTACATAGACTATTCAAACAGCTGCTTCGCATATAAAAATCCAAACGTGTGAATGCCGAATGAATGTGAGAAGAAAGCCACATTTGGAGACGTCACTGTAATATGCATGTATTTAGGCGAACTAACCAGCAAGTTAACAAGGGTTCACACAAATAACCATTGCCTTAGATTATGATTAAGTTCACTATACAGCGTGTTCCAAAGAACCTCGATAACGTTTTTGTCGCTCACCCATAGATTTTAAGTTGGACTGTACGTTTCTTTATTATTGTGGTAGTTAAATCCTATTCATGCATCATTATATTATTGTCTTGCTAGCGGAATGCGAGGTTGACTCTTGTATCAAAGAAAATGCAACCACGTGCTGCAGAAAAAATACATCCGAGTCTTGCATCGTTGCACGTACGTCAACCTCGGTTGTATTTATTCGCATTTGTAATGAAAGTGCGCTTAACGTTACCGGCCAAATTGTAAAAAACAAAATGCGTCCAAGAAGTAATGAAGAAATTTAAGAAGCATGGCTAGAGCTCTCTCCGTAACGTGAGATTGCAAACAGCTAGATCCTTTGTGTGTTGCCTGTGAACACTGGCACATATCCTCTCAAAGGAATTGGCCAAGAAAAGTTGTAGTAGCCTGTATGTCAACACTATACAATCACTGTTGGCCTATTATTAAAATGCACAAATAAAGAAGAAAAAGGTGCAAATAACTGTTTACAAATAAACAAATATCATACAATAAAAATTAACCAATAAAAATGAGAGCTAATACCATGTGAAAAGGACTGAAATTTTGAGCTAATCAGACAGTTGAGCTTACCTCACCCAATCAAAATCGAACGTATGCCCTATATTTATTCACACTACTAATTATACCACTAGTATTCTTTGAGTATATATTAAAGTAGACGTTATATTGGCATGCGTTTAGATTCTTGAATAAAATTACGTACCGCATCAAATACGTTTCTCTGGCAATGTCCCAAGGATGACGGCTACCACAGCGATACTTTTTTTCTTCTTGTTTACGATAACTCGAAACAAAGTAACGAACGCGAGCAAAATTATTCCAATCGTGCGCGCACCGTGTTTGGGTCTGAGGCATTGGCGTAGGTGAGAAGCACGTGGTAGGGCTGCAACTGAACTTCGTCGAACCCGTACTCGGTGAGTCGGTCGGCAACGTATTGTGCCAACTCCTGCTCTTCACGCGGACTGCCAGCTACGTGAGGCTCCCTGGCGAGATACCTGCATCCGCAAATGAAGCACGATGTTAATTACCGATATTTTAACCGGCATACTTTACAGTGTGAAGATTTCGCGTGCGGCAAAATTTTATGCTCTCAACAGTCACACTACACCTGTTCAGGTAGATAAGCGTACAGAACAGCAGAAATTGTTCGGTTAGCAGCTCTGGTAACACACCAGAACACACTCTTGCTATACTTCTCTTAGCTCTCTTATATGTGAAGTCCAGCAATATATGGTGTTTCGATTGATATCATGTGTGGGGTTTATTGTCCCAATACTACCATATGATTATGAGAGACGCTGTAGTGAAGGGCTCCGGAAATTTCGACCACCTGGGGTTCCTTAACGCGTTTACGCTAATCTGAGCACGCGGGCCTACATTTCCGCCTTTATCGGAAATGCAGCCGCCGCAGCCGGGATTTGATCCCGCGACCTGCGGGTCAGTAGCTGAGTACCTTAGCGACTAAACCACCGTGGCAGAACATATATAACATCTGGCGTTTTACGTCCCAAAACCACGATGTATGATGTATGATTGAGCGACACGCCATAATAGAGGGCTTCGGAAATTTCGATCGCCTGGTGTTCGTCTATAAGAGGGAATAGCATAGGGCAAATGGTACATGTCAGTTTTTATTGCGATAGCAATTATATGGGCACTCGCGGCTGGATTTTGTCGCCGGCGTCGACGTGGACGTCGGCGTCGATATTATGCACCTTATATGTATACCTATGTATATATGAAAACGCTAGAAAAAAACTTAGAAAAAGGACTCCGGTCCTTTATTCGTCAGAAGACGAAAAAAGTAAAGTAATATTAAAAAATAAAGAAGCAGCGTTGTGGGCGGCCTTCAGGCTGCTGGTTGTGGCGTCCAGGCAGTGCCTAGCTGCCACGTCCTTACCCAAGTCACCAGTGAAGTTACAGGTCCGGCCTGGTGCTGGACAAAGCAGCCTCCCACTGCTGCGGACTTCTTGGGTGCCAAGAGGCAGGGGGCAAGTGCGCGCGGAATCGAACGTGGGACCTCCGCGTCGTGAATGCGAGGCGTTAACCATTAAGCCTTCTGAGAGGTGCCTCTTTCACCGTTCAAACGGCAAGCTATTTCAAGCTATTCATTCTACCACTTACCGTTGTTGGCAGGCGTCTCGTGGGGGGAGCTATCGTGTTTTCAGTATTAACTGCAAGATAGCGCAGTGAGCGCGCGGCGGCTCTCATTTCTCATGCGTACTTTGGCCCACGTAGAGAATAAGGGGGTGTACGCTCGATCAGCGCGCCCTTATCTTGCAGTGTGGATAATCGTACGCCTTGGCTAGCCTTTGAGTTTCGTTGGAACGACTCTGTTGTAATTACCGGGCCCACAAAGGTCACTGCAGTCGTCGCACAGCCTTCGTTTGCGAAAAGGGTGCGATTTTCATACACAGCGAAGTAACAACTGAGACGCTTATTCGCGTTAACATGTACCTGCGAGTACGTTTCGTGCGTCTTTTGTGCACGAGAAACGCGGGGCACGTTTCGTTCTGCTTGCCGTTCTGCGCATGACCTTCCAATTTGTTGCTATCGCGTTCATTGCGTTGCCTTGGCGGCAAAACTGTGACTTTTTACAGTAACATTTAGAAGCTACTTCAAGTATTCACATAAAATTTCACGGGCCCACCAGTAATGGCACTGCTTTGCACGCCATTCCCATTCTTAAGCCTATATTGCCTATGCTTCGTATGGCCCACTCCCAAATTTTTAAGTGGGTTCAGTAATTCAATATACCTTTTCGCTGCAACCACGAAAGAAATATAATGACATTCAATTATAATTTTTTAAAACCACATAGGTCGCATGTGATCTAAAAAACAGGATATCCTTTATGAAACTTTTCTGAGAAAAAATATTACTGCATGCACAAAGCCACAGGTGGTGCGTATTGGTTTTGGATCTTTTTTGTTGGTTCACTTTATACAAAATCAGCATTTTTTTAGTTCGGATTACTTTCAACTTGTTTTGGCTGATGCATTCAAGGTATCATCGAAATCAATTCAATGCTTTTCTAGAAAGGTACTTTGAAGTTGAAAAGTTTATAATTAGCGCCATTGAAGAAAAACGAAGGTTTATGTGCGCATACTGATTACGCCACAGGGCGCGCGGTGCACTTTGGCGCGGCATTTAATCCGCTTGGAGCGGCCGCTCGACGACGGGCATCCACAGGTTTGTTCCTCACAGTACAGTAGATTTTTGGGAGTCAAAATTTCAAGGTCAATTTTTGGGAGGGTTTATCCTGCGGTACCACATCAATGTGTACAGACATCGCACAGTACACGCTCCTATTTCGTCTCCATCAAAATACAATCACCGCAGATGTGACCGAATCCGTGACATTCAGATCAGCAGCCGGGCTTCGTAACCACTATTACATCGAAGCGGACTAATGGTGTAATCTACTGAATCGCATACGTCAAATAGCTAACAGGCGCTGGAATCAAAGCTTCGCATTAGTTTGAGCGTTGCAGCTTTCCATAATTGTTGCATGATTGATTATTGTCGCATTCTTTTTGGCTATCTTGCTTAAAGGTGGTCTGAAAAACGTGCAGAACAAATAACCGTCTACACGGCCTTTTGTTCACAAATTCAATCATGGAGATTTATTGCCTCATAACAAAAGCATTCCAACGCGGGGAGACGTCCTTGAGGGCTGCCGATAAATTCGAAGCAACTGCATTGCTTTATTGTGAAGCCAAATTCATTTTTAACCAATTCTGCATCTTTCACTCATTGCAGCTTAATGTGCATTACCCGCCGCCATGGTGTTCTAAAGGCTAGAGGTTATGTTTCTTCACTGCTATACCGCAGGTCGCGGGATCGTACGGTATTAGCGCTGATTAAACTAACAGATAGCATAAAACAGTCCATCGATAAGGGGCTCTGGACAGGGGCGTTATTTATAGATTTAACTAAAGCCTTCGACACTATAAACCACTCTATTTTGTATGCTAAACTTAACTCCTTGGGAATCTGTGGGCCTACTTTAGCCCTTTTACAAAGCTATCTCACTAACATAACCCAGGTTGTCAATTTTGGCGCTGTTTTATCCTCACCAATAATAACTAACCAGGGAGTCCCACAAGGCTCAATTCTGGGACCTCTCATGTTTTGTATCTGCAATAACGACTTACCATCATCACTTAACTCATCTGACTGCATCCTTTATGCTGACGATACCACGATATTTTCTAGTGACAAAGATCTTAACAATCTACTAGCAAAATTAATCACTGATGTCGCGAAACTTGTTTCGTGGTGCAAAAATAACTTATTGAAAATCAACCCTGTTAAAACAACTTTTATGTTATTTCACTCGTCCCAAAAAAAGGTTACGATTTAACCCGTAATATACATTGACAACTGCGTCATCACCCCATCAAAGTCCACTATTTTTCTAGGTGTCACATTGGAGCCTCAACTCAAATATAACATTATAGTGAATTCTGTCATCAAGAAGACTGCTTTTGGCATCCGCATACTCATTCGCACAAGGCATTGTTTTCAGCAACACATTTTAAAATCACTTTACTATGCTTTCATTAACAGTCACCTAAGCTACTGCATTTAATCCCGGGCCAATACCTACGCCACACACCTAACATCTCTCAGTCACGTTCAGAAAAGAGCAGTCCGAATTATCACACATAGTTCCTACACAGCATCAGCAGCACCCCTCTTTAGCACTCTCGAAATTCTACCGTTCATTTCCACCTTTCAACTCAAACTTGGAATTTCATTATTCAGAAGTTCCGCTCACACATCTCGACAATACTAATGACACACGGTTTTTTGAAAATAGTAACCTTCTGCTTCCAAAAGTAAACACTAACTACGGCAAAATGACAGCCTTGTTTTCTGCAATTTCTTTCTGGAACTCACTACCATCAATTATTAAATCAAGCTCCTCCTTACATTGTTTCCGGCGGCATGTAAAACAGTTCTTACTAACAACATGCGACACCTGAATATATATGTATGTGTATATATGTGTGTGTTTACACACGGTTATATGCATTTATGTGTACGTGTATAGGTTCTGAAGTGACACTGTATTAGTTAGTGTTATGTATGTGTTATGTTATAGTCATTTAATTCAATTAGTTATCTCCTGTTTAACACTTACATGTAAATATTTTGAACTACCATAAGTTTCAATAATAATTTTCATTCCGTTAATTTTGTTTTATTCGCTTGCTGTTTTTTCCTTAGTTGCCAATCTTTGTTCTATATTTTTATACATGAATTCACAGGAGGTCCCCCTGACAGTTTTTACCTTGGGACCTCCTTCTGTATTATATCAACTTTTTTATTGCACTGTATTGTACTGAATAAAGCTCATCATCTTTAAATGATAAAAAAAAACTAGAAGACGCTGTTCGCAAAGAACGTTTGCTGCGCGGTAACGCTATTTTTTTGACCCCCACTGTCACGCTAACAGTAAAATATAGCTGTCTAATGCAACAAAATGAACGAAAGGCAGATGAAGGTTATTGTTGGGGGACATAAAGGCAATTTTTCCATTCCATCTTTTCTTTGAGTGTACCGCAAGCATGAGCGGGATGGCTTCAAGACTGGTGCTATTTTGTAGGTACCAGCTCCATGGACGTGCCTAAAAAACTCAGCGGCCTTATTTCGGAATCCGAATTCTGCGCTGTTTCTGCTCCTGTTTTTTTTTAAATAAAACATAGAATGAATTATCGAAAGGTACTTCTGACTGTGGAATTGCGAGTGCGTTTATAAGCTTGCCAGAATGTACGTTTGCTGCACATTTTTTCTTTATTTTTTGTGCTCAGTTGTGTGTGCTTCACGATGTTTTCTCACATACATGTTCTTTCCAGCTCAGTCTGAGAAAAAAAAATTCCGTATCGGCGTAGTGAGGCACGTGCGCTTAATTGTGGTTAAAACCAAAAAAAAACGTGTCTACCACAAACGAGTGCTCAAGAAAGCACGCGCCTTTGATTTCTAACAGCTGCATGAATACCGGGCGCCAAGCAGACTCGACAGAAGCCGGCGCAACGAAGAAAGAAGCATCAAAAGACACCGCGAGTACCTCTTTTGTCCCTCAAAAGCGCCGCTGCCACGCCGACCAACCTCCTCGGATCTAGAGTTACACCCAGCGAACTCTATAGAAACATCTCGAAGCAAATGGGCGTGGTGCTGCAGAGTTGCGTCACGTTACGAGAAAGGTTTCTCCCTTCCCCGGCTTTGGCGGTGCGGAGTGCCCACGAAACGCCTAGAAATTTCGGGAACCCAGCCGCTAGTGCATAAAAGCAAGCAGTGGAGGGAGTCAGAGGAGAAGATGAAGGGAGTGTTTTCCGCCAGCAGACATAGGCTTGTTCCAGTGACAAAGCAGGAAATATTGTTTTTCGCCAGTGGACGAAGACGTACGTGACTTGCAGTAGCAGCGCCTGAGTGCATGGCTGATGCGTTGGCGGCGAAGAAGTTTTGTTTTGAAGTGCGGCCAGTTGACGACGCGAGAGTTTCCTGGAAAAGAAACCTTTAACGCAGGGGCACGACAACCGGCGCTGGATTTTGATTGTTTTTTTTTGGAAGAGAAGCATTCAAGTTTCGCTCCAGGAACTCTGGACTGCATACTCTTGACGGAAATTCTAGTGCATAAGTGTGTTTGGATATTTAACGTATGAGATTGCATGGTAGTTGCATTCTGCATTCGCTCTCTGGATTCCGTGCCGACCGGTTGTGCCCTCGCGATCTCCGACGACAGCGCAGCTCTGGCCGACTGGGTTGGTCCTACGCCAGCTCCTGCCACCGGTCCCCTACGACGACGTAAGCGCAGCTCTGGCCGACTGGATTAGTCCTACGCCATCTCCTGTCACCGACAAGAGCTCTCGCAAGTGGTGTCCCGTCCTCGCACTCCCGTGACCGTGCTTCCATCTTTCCTATCTATCTTATGTCGTCACTCGCTGTCCTTGCTTATCTCTATCTCTCTACCTTCAATCCTATCTTTTAAATCTCTCCTCACCCCCATCTCTTGTGAGCTACTGTTGAGGTGTCGCATGCTGATGCTGACAGTTACCGGGCTCACTTTTCTCTTTGCGATGTTTAGGACGATTCGAGCATTTCCACTATTGTGCAGCGGTGCAGGAAACAGACAGGGAGACGAGCTTAAACGTTTATATACAAAAGAAAGGCTATAAAATGTCAGTGATGTGAACGCCGTCGGGACGACCGCCACGGCACATGAGGAAAAGAGTCCCGTGGACTGACGACTCTCGAGCAGCGGTGGCGTCGTCTAGGAGATGCCTGGACCAGCGCGACCCCAGACCTTGTTTCCGAGCTCTTGATCACCACCCGGACGTAGCAGTTCCACGTGCGGGTTCTGGCCAGCACAGCACCGTCTGTACAGTGCTGAAATGCTGCTCGCCACAGCTGCGGTGCGGCAGCTCAGTCACCGGCGTTCCTCGCCTTGGCCAGGGCACAACCAGGTACCCTCGGATGCACAGCTCGCGGCCCATGTCCGAGTCTGGCGCGTCGCTCGGTACGGCTCGGCACCACTCGGCGATCCTCGATTCAGCCAGAACTCCCCTGGCACCTGGATCTTCGGCCACCCTGAACCTGGCCCGGCTCCGTGGTCTTCCGTGCACACGCCCGCGTCTCGCCCGGCAGAACGTCTCGCTCGTCCGAGCTCAGAATTCCACGCCTTGGCCCGAACACTGCGAGTGATGCTGATGCTGATGCTGATGCCACCTCGTGCCTCGTGCCACCCGTGCCACCGCGCTCTTCTTCTTTGTCCCTCATCGCTCGGTGATCCGCGTCGATGTTTTTGCGATATTTACACGTGACACTCTTCTTTTCCCTCTTATAACCACAACCACCATTTAGTGTGAGGTCTTGTTTGTGCCCGTTTTTCTTTAATTTATCGGAGTATCTCGTGAGTGGTGTCGTACTATATTTGATCTGCCGCTGGTGTGCTATTTCACTGTTGACATGTTTTTCCGGAAAGGGTAAAATTGCAGACATATTACGCCGTCTTTGAATCGCATCTTACCTATTTTGCGCTTGGGTGGGCCAGCACCACAAAAGGCAACATTCCTGCACTTCTTCAACTTCAAAAACGCGCGCTTCGACAAACAGCGAATGTACCCAATTTTTATTCCACTGCGCTGCTTTTTCAAAAAGATAAGATATTACGTGTGACAAGTCTCAACGAATAGCGACTTCTGTATTCATTTTTTTCGGCTCCGACAATATCAAATCCTTTTTAAAATATACGTCATGGCTCGAATAGAAAAATAGCGACTCGCGCACTCGTAGCCACGAATGTGGCCGGTACCATACAGGCGCACAAATTACCTTACGCAATCTCTGCGGCACAGCCCGCCTCCGATACTAAATAATTCGGGAAGGGAAAGATTTATTCCAAATATTTTGGCGCGCAAACAAATACGAAAATAACTTTTCAAGTGTGAATGAAGGGATAAAGTAAACGGTTTTTACACTTTCACGTTTCTTTTTGCTTTTTCGCGTGTTTCTCCCTCTGTGCTTCGATAAAAATGAAAATGTACCATTATACTTCGTAGCTATGTTTGTACGAGTCACTTTCGTTATGTTGTAACGTCCACTTATTTTATGTATAGCAATGCATTAAGACGTTTCACCTTTCTAAAAGCGTCATATTTGTATTTTTATAAATATTGTTATTTATTGGTTATTCAATAGGTCCATTTTTAATTCACTAAAATTGTGATTTTTTTCTGGATATGTACCTAAAACATGTATGAATGCTAATTTTGACGTTACTTCTGCCATGTGATGGCTTTAAGGCACATTCAAGCTGTATGATGCAGCTTTTCGACTGACGGACCCCGAACAATTTTGTTGGAAAATAAAAACCTTTCTGATTCTGATAACTGCAGAGTGTAAAAGTTTGTTGTTTGTTCTGCCTTATCTGAGAATATATTTTTGTTTTGTTACCACCTTTCGGCTCTGCCTGATTTATTGATTTGTGGGATTTAACGTCCCCAAACCACCATATGATTATGAGAGACGCCGTAGTGGAGGGCTCCGGAAATTTCGACCACCTGGGGTTCTTTAACGTGCACCCAAATCTGAGCACACGGGCCTACAACATTCCCGCCTCCATCGGAAATGCTGCCGCCAAAGCCGGGATTTTGATCCCGTGACCTGCGGTTCAGCAGCCGAGTACCTTAGCCACTAGGCCACAGTGGCGGGGCTCGGCTCTGCCTCGTTCTTTAGACCAACACTAAATTATCCGCGCTATCACGGCGCACTTCGGGGCGTTGATACGCCCTTGGAATTAGCCCGGTGATTGCCTCCCTATCAAAGGGACCAGTGGCACTGTCCCTTCTTCCTTAGGCGTGAGCAGAAGGAGGGGGGGGGGGAGTTTGTGCGAAATTTCATCGCAGCGCCCCCCCCCCTCCCTATTAAGAGAATGTATGGAGCAGACTTTGCGCCCCTTCCCCCTTGGGTGATTAGGAGAGAGGCAGACATCCCCCTCGTGCACACGCCTATGCCTTCTTAAACATGTTTGCTATATTTAAGATCGCAGGGCGAAATGTGTCGTGGCTGAATATTCTGAAGTATTTTTCATCATTGAGCGCATATTTAGCTACTGACACTTTAAAGAACTCCACTGGAGCAATATATCGAAACTGGCCCATTTCTTTTACGAAGCAGAGTTTTTCGTTGAAAAGCACGGTACATCGAAGCTTTCCTTACCGCACGTGTTCCTCTAACGTCTGGTCTACGATGGCCTCAACGAGCAAGTCTGTGTCGACCTCTCGATGGACGCTCTCATGTTGGACGAAAGCATCGCCGCCGCGGCTGCTGGTCCCACATGCGGCGGAAGAGTCTGTCGTACGCGGTGACGTCCCCTGCTCGCTGCTTCCATCTGCAGAGCCGCCTGGAAGCTGTGGAGCGCCTTCGCTTTGGCTGTTCGATGGAACCACATAGCGTCCGATCAGCAGAAAAACTGCGGCCGTCGCCAGTACAGCCAAGGCACTCCCTGCGCAAGCCTTCCTGTTGCTGTGCGCCTGTGCGGGCCTGCGTTCGACAATTGTGTCAGGTTCATGATCAGGGCCGCCAGGCATTACACATTCGTTAGAAACAACATGAGAAGTATATCTCATGATAGGTACACCGTTAGTCAAATCATGGCTAGTCTGTATATAAGCCGTAAACAGCGACTTCACCGCGGTGCTTCTATACCTGATACCACAGAGAGATTGGTGGCTTATCACAGTGCATCCTCAGAATACAAAGAAGCTTATGCAGTTCCTAAAGATAGTTTCTTTAGTGATACACTTCCCTCTCGCCTACAGTCTAACCCTCGTAAGGTTTTCGTGCATTGTAAATGGTCAGAAAAATAAGAACATCTACCTTGTAACGAACTTGGTTTCGCGATTTAATGTAACAGGGGCTGTGAAGCTTTGCTAGATGTATTTAAGAAACGCATTTTCTCTCGACAACTCTAATGAATCACTGATTCAAGCTTATTCAGGATATTCTTGAGTGGGAAAAATAATCATTGTTCAATTGGGCCTTTTTCAGCTCATATTTAAAATGAAAGTGTCAGCACGTGGCATAGACGGAATCGCTCCCCAATTTTCTTAGCAGACGGCCATTTTTTTGTTTAGTCATTTTTCCACAACTTTTTTCGCAGTCATTGCAACAAACCTGATTGCCCAGTGACTGGAGGGCGTGGAAGGTGGCTCCTGTGCCTAAACCAGGTGTTTAACCCTTCCAATTACAGTTCCAATATTTGACTATAGCATACCATGTAAGCCGAACTTATGATCTATTCTAACTTGATTGTATTGTCTCTTGTATTTCTTGTATTTGTATTTCTCTAATAAAATAACTCTTTTCACAAGAGTCAGCATGGGCCCCGCCACGGTGGTCTAGTGGCTAAGGTACTCGGCTGCTGACCCACAGGTCGCGGGTTCGAATCCCGGCTGCGGCGGCTGCATTTCCGATGGAGGCGGGAATGTTGTAGGCGCGTGTGCTCAGATTTAGGTGCACGTTAAAGAACCCCAGGTGGTCGAAATTTCCGGAGCACTCCACTACGGCGTCTCTCATAATCATATGGTGGTTTTGGGACGTTAAACCCCACAAATCAATCAAGAGTCATCATGGTTTTAGCGAACACTACTCATGCGAAAGCCAACTACTACTCTTCACCAACGACTTTTTTTCAGCATCTGACACTGGCTCCATTATTTACTGCATTTTCCGTGATATTTTAAAACCTTTTGACGCCGTTTCTCACTGCTTATTCCTACTAAAACTAAGCACGCTAAATATTTACTAAATTATATAAAGGTGAATTGAATGCTTCTTATCTAACAAAACTCATCATGTAACAGCTGGCGGTCATATTTCACGCCATTGTTCCGTAACATCTGGTGTGCAGCATGGTTCTGTCTGTGGACCCCTACTCTTTCTAATTTACAATACTGACCTTCCATTCTGCATTACATTGACAATCAGGCTATTTGCCTATTATTTTGTTATCTACCGAATAATAACACGGATGATTCATCACAACTTCAATCTGATCTTGACACTATTGCCTTCGGGTGTTCGCTCCGCTCCACGGAACTGAATAGTAAAATGTGCAAAATAATGAGGATGTCTCGAGGAAGTAGTGACTGCACTAGCCCTGTAATTTATATAACTAATTCTCAGTTGTGATTTGATACTAACAAATATCGAGGTGTTTACATTGATAATAATTTGACATGAATAGCCCTATCAAAATGTGATAAACAATGCAAACCACATTCTTTTCATTAGCGCCTGTTTTATTAAAATTGCTGCTTTATAAAACGCTCAAAACTCGAGTATGCCTCATCAATCGGGATCTTCATTTTTGTACACTTGTTAACGCAGTAGAAGTCATTCAGTGCTTGATTGTCGCTAATTACTCTCGCACACTCCTACCTTTTCTAACAGAAGGAAGCAGGCCCGCCAATGCCTTTTCCACAAAATGTTTTTCATTAATCTTGAAATAAAACGCACATTGTTCTCGCCATCTTCTTACGTTTCATCTCGCACAGCTTCAAAATTCATGTGACCTTCTGTGATATCAACATGTACTTCTACTCCTACGTGCTTTATCTTAATGAAACCACCTTCCTGCCTTAATCACTAACGACGTTGTTGTCAAGGGGTGGTGAGCATCATTTTAACGTAAGCGCCGGCGTAACGTCAGACCATAAAATCTAGTCTTCTCCAAATACGTCGGTCCATCTCGTAACACGTAACTCGAAGCGAGAAATGCCTCGCCGATGCCTTGGCATGAAATCGGTTCCCGCACTGCCTTGGAATTCGCCGAATGTTTCCAAAGCTCCAATCGTGTTGAATAGGTGCGCCGGAACCACCGCACATATACAGCGAGAGCCTAAATTGATTTTGCGAACTTCTTCAGCAAGAACGCCTCGCGCAGTAGAAGCTGTAAAACTAAACTATAGGATAACAATGTCGAGGATCTATTACGCACCGTCTACCTTATAGTAATAATAATTTTCCTGCGTGGTACCTTAGCACGAAATAGCGCGCTAAGGTAGCCAAATAGCGCTACTTTAGCGCACTATTTTGTTTTCGGCACAATGCGCTATTTCGTGGCGTAACAGTCGAGATATTCATGACGCACACTACACGTGTTATTTTTTTTTTTTGCACTTTGCATTGCGTGAAGGGCTCCCTGCTCGTGAATACCAACGCAGTGTCAAACGTGAGGAGTACACAACTAAAGATCAAACGAACCATATCGGCATTTCGTCATCAGGGCTTCCAATTTTTGCGTCCCGCTTCTGTTACATATAAAACAGTGTGCGGCTGGCGGAGGTTGATGTGGTGTACGATCGCTATGGCAAAGCAACACTAAGGTTTACCAAAAACCTAGTGCAATAAAAGCATCGCCTCGTTCGCATAATGGATGCGCACGTGTTTCAGATTCAGATGCTTTTTTTTTTTCTTCGACTACAACACCAAAGCTGCACAAGCTAGAGGTCTATATAGCAATACTTGACAAAAGGTCCCTGTATCTGTTTACAAGTATAGTAAACAACAGATACATAGTGAATTGTTCGCAGCATACGAAAAATTGTCCTGGAATGGAGAATTTAAAGGGCAAACGAAAGCACAATAAGTTCACAGTTCCAATACCTATTGACCGAACTAGAAATGCTTCTTTCACACAGAAGTGAAAGAAGTGTATAACGATAGCGCACCTGTCAAGTGCATTTCTTTAAATAAAATACTTGTGTTCTAAATAAATAAAAAAATAAATAAAAAGTTAACGAAAAAAGTGCATCTAAACAAGTGCATGGCAGGTTATTATGCACACACAGCAATGCATATTTATGCTCAAAATAGTAACTCGTATATTATTTGGAAAACGTGAAAGGAGTCCGCCATTTATCAATACATTTATTACTTGTTTAGTAAAGAGGACTAATGTATTGAAGTCCAAATCTCTTTCAGACCTAATAACAAGAGAGATGGCTTGACATTTCATAAATTTTTTAAGCAAAACAGTTAACAAGTAAGTCTTACTTGTCTGCAGTTGACTTCCCAGCCTCAGTCATGATTCGTTAATCCGACACCAGGCTTCCTCGCGTGTAGTCGCCCTTATGCCAATCTGGGTGGAAACGAACAAGAAAAAGTTTTGACGTTAGAGTAAGTGCAGGACACGCAAATGATTGCTTAGTGACTAAGTGTAAAATTAACCCGATACTCTACTTTGTATACACGTCACACTCTGGAGTTTGGCAGACACGCAGCGCCACTTGTCTACGCAGTTTTGAGTAGTGCAAAGCCTGACTCCCTTGCACAGTTCACTGCGCAACCAGGTGAAACAATGGCGTGCGAAACAACGATTTAGCCAGATATTAGGTATGTTTGCGCATTGAACGCTTAGAAAAGGAGCTACGAATTTCTCTATGCTAGCCAGACACGTCACCGAACCACGCTGAAGTGTTTCCTGGTTCACTCGCCAGAACGATGGCGAAAACAAAAGCAGACGCAACAGCCCTGCGCTCAACAAAAAAAAAAGACCCAAGTCGACGATACTGTTCAACTGTGATTTGCCACGGTCGTAAAGGACTTCAGTTTTGCTCATTTTCACAGCTTTCGCTAAGCAGAACAGCCAGAGTGCTGTGTACGGGTCGTCGCGATTGTGTTCGATAAGCGAATTACTCGCGTCCTCCACAGCCAGTCGCATAAAAAAGTGTGATAATGTAGGTCTCCTGCTATTGTTTTGAGTAGCCTTGACGGAGAACCATGGTAACGTCTATTATGAATCTTAGCAGAGCTTCGGACCGCGGTGCGCGCTTTGCTGCAGTAGACAGGTGACGCGCGCGATAAACATCGCACACGCCGCGACTACCAATAACTTGAAGTTGTCGTCACCACACAGGATTAAGCACGTATGGCTTTCAGAGCTCTAAGTTACGGCTTTGAGTAGGAAATGCGAACACGTACGTCATACAGGTAAATCGCAAAATAATAGCGACAACAATCATTTTTGCCGTTGGTCTCCGAGATCGCTGCAGCTATCTTGGAGACCTTGGTTTTTCTTTCATTGTACACCGAGAAAGTGGACACGCATGTATCGCCATTAGCAGTATATACAAACGGATGACGACCGTCAAGAGAACATTCTAGCGCGCGTAATAAAACGGTACAACGCACAGGAAGCGAGAGCTCGATCTAGGATGCAAGTGCAAAGGCGAAAACCGCCAGGGCTATTCGTGCCAGAAGAAGCTAGCTTCACTGATCGTATAACAGATGGCTCGAGTAAGCGCTTTATCGCTTCGACATCATGTGCATACCGAAGTTTAACTCACTTAGGGCGTAACAGAAAGCACGTCGGAGTGCTTGCCTTGGACTCGATGTCATGCGATGCTCGCTTGCACTTCAATTGCCAGTTGCAGTACGCCAGAATTTATGAAATACCTTTCGCATTGTACCAGCAGTTCGTCTTGATGAACTTCCTACTTTTCTGGAGCGAAGTTGGGTTGTAGGAAGAAGCTTGCCAGGTCCATGATATCCAGGAAACCGCACGTCAAGACTAACGAAGAGGAGGGCCTCACGTTCGCTTGCGGACGGCTCTCTTTCTACTAGCCATTTATGGCCAGCTTGTCAATGGGGCGCTGGTGACGGCGTTTTTCGCAGCGCCACCTGGGCCTGTTGCACTGCCCATGACTATGTTTTATTGATGTAGTATGAATAACCGGTATTTATTTTTCCTGACCAAGTGACACTGGTCGAATAAAGGAGGTATGAACAACAAATGTGCGTTGCGGGCCATGATAACTGAACAACGTCGATAATTGCAGTTTTCCCGTAGCGCGGATGCCTCACCCATTTAAGGCAAGGACAAGGAGTCGGAGCGACTATTACTTGATTGAGATAAACAATCCACAATCATTACCAATGTATTGGTGTGTGTGCACCTAAACCAAACGTTTAGGTGCACACATACGGTCATATGTGCAGGCATAAGTAACGGACATAAATAGCTATACTTTTCTTGCGCTGGCTTTTATGTACTGGATTGGTCAAGTGAGCACTATTCTGTCATTTCAAGTGATTTTTTGAGAGACCGAATGTATCGTTTTGTTATGGCAGGATTATTTCCGGAATACACACGAAGTGCAGGGGTCGGCAATATTATGAAGCAGATAGCCAAGTTGCAAGGAGCCGACGTGGCGGGCAGCCGCTAGGAAAATTTCGAGGAGGGTTGACCTTGCGGCTGTTTTAACTTAGCGGCTGATTCACCTGTTTCCTTTGCGCCAAAACTAGAAAAAAAATGATAGGCGAATCGAATATACGTACAACACTGGAGAAGAAATTACGTCTTTTTATTTAAGCAGGCGTGTCACAAGGTTGCAGTTTTCAAACATGTTTTACAAGTAAAAGCCCCATTTGAGATCAAAACTGTGGTCTCGATCATCATACAAGATGTGGCGGAGTTGCGTTTCCGAGATTTTGCCGAGGGCCGCACACTGTCCTGCGGACCGTAGCTTGACGCCTGCACCAAGGCATAATTTTAGGGCGCATTACCTTTTACTTCACGACAACGACGTTCATAAAACAATACTTTTGAACAAACCATTGCACTGTTAAGTGGAATGATCATACATGTTACCGTTCAGTTGTAGTAAGGATGACTAATCTGCTTAGCGCAACTCTTGACTGAACCTAAGAAATGAAAGTAAAATGTTCGAAGAAAATCACTTAACTGCATCGAGAAACGACGTCACAGTCTTCGTCGCCACCAACCGTCTCGCTGTCCTTTTTTGGCAATGCAAGGATCCGCTCAGCTGTTCGTAATCGAGCTCGTTCTCGGCTTAACTTTTTGCTCGCTTAGAGGCCAGAAGATGACGTTTTGCACAGCCGCGACGATAACTGACCCCTTGTAAAAAAATATGATTGCGAGAAAGATAACCACGGGTTGTTGAGATAAAACTGCGGCTATTTTCACTTTCATGGGGCTCTACGAGCGGCGGTAAGAGACATGACGGCGCTGAAGCACGCATGAAACAGGAAGTGGATAACACGCTCTTAGAAAGCAAATACTTGGCAATACGTGCTATGATGTCACAAGTGCAATAAAGCGACGGACGAGTTCGCTTAGTATGGCAAGCCAACAGAGTGAAGGAAGGTTTCTGAAGGAAAAAGCAAATGCCGCCCGCACGTCTTCAAAGAAAAGGTTCGTGGAAAAAAGGGAATTTTAGGAGGATGAATAGAAAGGTCTGGTCGCGGTTAAGTGAGGCTGTCGTACTATGCAAGTCGTACATATTTTCTTTGTAAGTTGTTGCTGCAAATCCGGTTAAGATTTATTACCCCCTGAAATGGTTTCATTTCAATAGCCAACAACCCTTATACATTGTCAAAAACTCTCTCTTACTATGAGAAATTCGGCGAGGCACAAAAAAAAGACGAAAAAAAAAGCACGGGTCAAACCGGTCTGCCACCGCCTCATATCTGCTAAGCGAGCTTGACAAAATGCCAGAAGTTTGACAGCGTCCACTGCGGTATAGTTATTTTTTTATCCCTCACGGCACGGCCGCCTGGATTGGGCGCGTGCGGTGGTGTTCCTCCGGCCGTCTCAATTGGACGGAGGAGGCGTAATTGTAAAAGAAGGAGTGACCGCTCCGTTCGCCGCATGGCGGCGCGCGTCTACTACCCTTCCTTTTCTTTGCTGTCTATGCGGGATGGTTTGCGGGGCTTGAAGAAATCGCTTTATAGAAACCGCAGACCACTGGTTGGCTTTGCACCTCATCTTTCTTCGTCCCCCAACCGTCTCAAATAAAAGCAATAGAAGGATTGATGGTGGCTGGCGCTATAATATTTCAATTTATTCATGCCCCAGCGGCTGTCGCGATGATAGTGACCGATGCGAACACATCCGTGAGCCAGTTTTCAAGAAAATTTAGGTGCCCTCTAGTGCAGCACATGAGATATAGAAGGTTCACAGGAGAGCGAAGTCACCCGATTGATTCATTAAATTTTTTGTTGACCACTTCCAGAAGATAGAAACGATTTGAAGGATAGCTGAGCTGCACCGTGTATGTTAATTGGTGGAGATACTTTGGGGTACTGAGGCCTTCAATGCGCAAGCTTACCTGCTGTGCTCGCAGACAACTTCTTTCGGCAGTGCAGGGAATGCTACGGAAGCGGAGCTTTCTGCAAATGTGCTCCTACGCGAGAGAATCTGTTTTGGCACGCCTCTCGTAACTCTGCGGAAAGAGATGGCTGAGCGCAACCACCTTCAATTTGCATAGACACAGATGACGCTTAGCGTTTGAGGTACACGTAGACGGCGGGTTTTTTTTTTTTTTTCACGCGTGGAAGCACGCAGTGACATAAAAGCACGCACAAAAACATGCGAAAACAAGACACGCACACAGACAGACGAGCGCGCTCACATATACACACATTCGCACATACTCACAAAAGAGCGCATACAGACACACATTCGCATGCACAAAAGAACAAGCACGCGAGCGCGCGCGCACTCACCCACACACACAAGCGCGCGCACACAGACTGACGAGCGTGCGCGCAAATACACGCACCGAAGAGCACACGCACACACACACGGCGCGCGCAATAGACCCCCACACAAAATCGCACCCACACACACATACACTCTCACGCACGGAAGAACGCACACACAATCGCCTCCCCAATCGCTAGCAAGAAGCACTCACTTTCGGCGAAGACCCGCACTTTACCGCAAGGAAGGCCAAAGGGCAAACACCATCTTTATTGATTCTACCTCGAATTTTCGCTCACGGCCAACGTAGCTTTTCCACTCACACACAGACGCCGACGGCATAAGTTCTACGCAATAAGCTCTTTAGTGATGTCGCGCTTTAACACGACAAGCTTCACCTAAGCGAAAGAAAGTACTTCAGTCATGGGTGACTGATCCCTGGTGGCAGGTGACTAGCGTCTCCGATCATTTTGACATCATATTCGCCCTCATGCCGGCATACGCATAGATAAGAACGTCGCATTTCGCATCACTGTCGTAGCTCGGAAACCTTGAAATGCAACGACTGTAGCATTATCAGCACTGTGGTTTAGTTTTCAAGTAATATGTGATAAAAAAGAATGAAAAGCGGGGCAGATCACGTAATCAGTCAGCTTAATACATGCGTTATGGAGGCGAAATTTGTAGAACAAGCTGCGCCACACGAAGTCGCCTCACACTGCCTGGCTTTGTCTCGATCATAGCATGCTACAGAGAACAACACTCACTGTGTCAAGCCCGATTAAAACACACATTAGCGTTCCTTTATTCCAGTCACCACGCGAACGACGTCCAATGTGCATTTCTCCAAGCATGTCTATGGCGCGGCGCAGTCGGCGTCGTCGGCAGGATGAATGAATGGGTGAATGGATTGATATGGCTGTACCCTTTAGATCGGGCGGTAACTAACGCCACCAAGCCCTAATACTTAGTGAACCAAAAATTAGATTTACCTTTTTTTCTTTTAAATAGTGAGGTTCATGACTGGTACTCTGCAGTGAAGGGTTTAATTTTCACTCGTGCCCTGATCAGATAATCTCGTTTTAGTCAATTCTACCCGCTTCTTTCCTGCCTAAAAGTTCGATAGATCTTTAGTGGACTTCTTAATCATGCCAATTCCCCACATATCGGTCTCAGCAGTATTTACCCGTCATGTTCCTGGTACGTTTCCTCCATTTTGTATCGACATTCTTCAGTGTAAAAATATCCTAAAACCTTCCTAGCCTAACGCTTCTCCCACATTTCTCTCAATCGCTTCTCAAATTTAATCCTCGCTGCTAGCTTCCCTGCCCTCAAGTGAAGTCCATCCCATATCACCTTGTACTCCCTGATTTGGTGTATTCCCGTGAGCTCCTAAGGCAAGTCTACCTATTCCACGTTGCTTAATTTCTAATCTTGCTTGAACTTCTGATCTCATGCACAAGACCGCATTGTGGAACGTCAGACCAGAAGCCATGACCCCTTTCCATATTTCTCTCACGACATCATACCTATAGTAATTCCACAGTGGCCTATTTTTCATCACTGCTGCATTCCTGGTACCTTTAGTAGTCACGTATATTTCGTGTCTCTTAGGTACTCGGTCCCATTGCTTATCCATACGCCCCGATATTTGTATTTATCTGTTATCTCTAGCGTTACCTCCTGTAATCTAAGCTCACTACCTTCATATCTCTGCAAATCTTCCTTGTTGCTGGCCATTAGCACAATATCATCTGCGTACATCAATGCTGGTATTGCCTGTTCAATGAGTTCTCCTTGTTTGACGAAAAAGAGGTTGAAGCCAAGTCCACTTCACTCTAACTTGCCCTCTAATCTTTGTACGTACATCATGAATAACAAGGGTGACAGAGGACACCCCTGCCTAAGCCCCCGTTTTACCTCTGTGGGCTTGGATACCTGTTTTTCCTACTTTATAACTACTTTGCTACCTTTATAGATGTCCTTTAAAAGATTAGTCACTCCATCTTCCACACCTGGTGTGTCCAGTATTCCGCACAAGTCCTCTTGAACCACGCTATCGCACTCTCCCTTGATATTCAAAAATGCTGATGATGATGATGTGT